AAAAAAAAATCATTGACACTAAAAATATCTTTTTTAAGAGTAATCAGGATAGCAGATATTGCAAACATATTTTAAGTGGACAGAAAGACCGGATTGGTTATAATGTAGGTACAATCACACAAAGTTAAAAAGATACTTGAAAAACATGGAACCTTTAAATTTGATATAAAACTCTTTTGTAAACCTTGCTCACCGAACATAAGTAAAAATATTACACATAGAAAACACACGGAAACATTGGAAATCAGTTTTTGGCACAAACCGGTATCAGTGATACAGTCGCTGTATGTGCGGCGAATATAGTGGAAACCGGCAGTGCAACAGCAACATGGTGTCTATGTATACAAGAAATTTATTACTAAGTTGGTTATTCCAAACAGCATTATTATTATTATCTTGAAATCAGTCAGATACGGACGAGTCAACCTGGTGAAAACGCTGCACGTCTATGTAGCTGCTGAAGTCTCAGCGACTCAGGACACGAGCAGACACTTTCTGTCTAATCGCCTACTTTTGTGCTGCTTCCCATAATTTCACACGAGGGGAACGAGCCAGTGTTCACAGAGTACATCCTCAGTAGCTACATGTCCCATATATGCTTTTCTACATTGTGCTGATGCGCTTTAATAGACTGAATGACCAAAAACTAAACTTGGTGTGATGCATGCAGCTGGGCACACATGCGCCTGACTGGAGCAATAAGAGCTTCAGCTTTCAGTGCATCACGCAGACCTGAGATACACCTGAGCTCCATCACTCTGAGAGTTTAAAGTCTATTTGAACTTGTATTAAACTGTGAAGCAGTCGCTGCGCGCCCCACCTGTAGCACCCAGTGATGACGACAATCACAGCAGAGTGTGAAATGAAACAAATATCGCTCATCGATCACGTACCTGCTGAGATGCTGTCTGCGTCTCGCGGTTGGACTTCCTCGTGTGAGCGCGCGTCCGTTGTTCGTTTTTATTGAAGCATGACGCGCACACGGAAAGCCTAAACCACGCCCCGCTTTCAGATCCACACTGCAGGAAACCGGACTCCGCTCCAAGTCAGGGATCTGTACCAGCACCAGCACAACAAAGCTCAGAAGACTCCTCTTGATGACGCCGGTGCTGTGCCAAAAAGTGATCGTCTTCCAAAAACTGATTTCCGGTATTTGCCAAAAACTGATTGCTCGTATTTAAATTGCTATAAGTAACTTATTGGGCTATAATATGTGAAACATATGTTAAATGCATCCCTTATGGATGACATAAAGCATAGGTGTCAAACTCTGGCCCGTGGGCCAAATTTGGCCCGCAGCCTAATTACATTTGGCCCGCGAAGCCATACCAAATTACTATCAGAGCTGGCCTACTGGTATTATACAGCTAATATATATATTGCTTAGTATTAAGCTTTGTTTGTTCCATATTCAGTTTTTCAGCAAAACGTGTTTGAGTTCATAAGAAAAGATTCATTCTTATATCTAGAGGAAGATTTGTTTTTCAATAAATATTAATGTTAGCCCAGTTTGGAATTTTGGCCCAGTGTGTATTTGAGTTTGACACCCCTGAAAGTCATCTTGAGCCACAAACAACATTCGTGTAACAAGGTAGAAGCCGCAATCAGTTTTTGGCAATGACTTTTACGTAACCTTTATTTATGCAGTTAAAAAAATCTCATTACCATTAAAAATGTCTTTTGTAAGAGTAAGCTGGCCAACAGGACAGCAGAAACGGCAGCAAATATTACAATAGTTCAGTAAAAATATTTTAAGTGAGGATAAAGGACCGGATTGGTTATAATGTAAGTACAATAACACAGTTGTAAAGATACTTGAAAAACAGATAATTTTTTAATTCTATATATAACCCCTTTGTAAACCGTGTTCGCCGAAGTCTGTTTACGAACATAAGTAAAGATATTGCACAGAAAAAATACACAGAAACATTGGAAATCAGTTTTTGGCACAACACCGTGCTCCATCAGAACTATGTCAGGGTGGCGCTCCGTGATGCTGAGCACTGATCACTGCAGGTGGGACATGACTGTTATATGTATTAATGTAATGGGACTTCCGAGCTGTCACTTCTAGAAGAACACGAAGTCCGTGCTCCACTGTCCTCATCGCCCATCTGTCATCTCATACCAAACACAACATCGCACACAGTCTTGAACCCACAGCAGTAAACAGGAACCATGTCATCGCTGTAGCCGGGGAGCAATTTAGCCGACGCACGGTTTCCATGGAAACCGCTTACCTCGCAGGGGAATAAGCCAAAAAGTTCACGCCAGCTGTGACATGGTGACTGCATGAAGACCAGGCCTGCAGGTGTGCACGTAGCTGTTTAAGGTAACCCAACGATAGGCGGATGTGTGAGCGCGTGCTCGTTACGTCTTTGCACTTCCTGTTTTCATCCGGTAACAGCAGGTTCAGGGACCGGGCTGTCTCTGCGCTCGCGGCAGGAGTGATGCACCGGCTACAGCACACTGAGTGTAAAAGTTATACGTTTGTAACTTTGTCTCTGCGGCTGCGCACCACGACTGTGATGGAAACAGCCACTGACGTCATCATTAAAGTGGTGTCCACCATAATACCGCTATAAATCTGTATATGACATACAGCACCCAGCTGTTCAGCACATGCGCACAGACAACAGTCAGAGTCACAGAGCTGGACCTCTTTAGCTGAAACCCCAGGACAGCAACCTGAGTCCTGGAGAATATTGGACTTGAAACAGTACAGCTGTGTAGTACTGTAGCTGTGTAGTACTGTAGCTGTGTAGTACTGTACTGTAGCTGTGCAGTACTGTAGCTGTGCAGTACTGTAAAGTAGCTGTGCAGTACTGTAGCTGTGTAGTACTGTAGCTGTGCAGTACTGTAAAGTAGCTGTGCAGTACTGTAGCTGTGTAGTACTGTACTGTAGCTGTGCAGTACTGTAGCGGGGCACGTGGTGCATTGGGGAGACCAATGTGTGACTGATTACTGTCATTGTGAAAAATGAAGCTGTTCCCGTCTTTCACGTGTCTCACGGTGGATCAAAATCTGTGTAATTTGGCGTACTTCAGCGTTTTCTCCCTGTTTCCTGTTTCTTTGACGTTTTTTGTAGTCAGTGAAAGAAATGGGAACAAATGCAGTGTGTTTCCAACAGGCTCCTTGTAACACAGTAGAACAGGTACAATCTGACATTGATTCTTTTGTAAGTGTTATCAGGACCCAGCTGCAATGGTCCAGCTTTGAGGGCCAAGACCGTGAGTTTCATTCTTCTTCTTGGCTCTATACAGTTTTTGTTTGCTTACTTATTTACTGCTGTTATGTGTCGACACAACACTGGTTCATACCTTCAGTTTGAGACTTTTTGTGTTTGAATGATTCATACACAGAGTTAATGAGATTGTTCGCTGCACCATGGAGCTGGAAGTTACCTGGAATCCTCTGAATGAGTAACCAGGTTAGATAGATACATAACAAGGACCTTGATCCTCAAAGAGACTCAACATCATCTGTTTTTGGACGTAGTCTGAAAACACACCACAAAAAAAAAAGTTACTAATCCTTGTTGCCCAGCACTCAATCAGACATCCACAACAGTGAGCTGGTGCAGCGTATCCATTAGAGTCTAATGAGCTCGGAAAGTAATCAGCTGACTGACTAGAAGTGAAGAAGCTGTTGGGCTGAGAGGTGAAGTGCAGTCCCTTTCTTCCTGACCTCCTTAGAAAACCACGACCTGGATGGAACGAGGACAACTTACCAGGCAGAGGAGCCGTTATCCCCTCATGTAGTTATTTTTCCAAAGTGACAAAACCTGCACTGCATGTAAATTCAGTTCAATTCAATTTCTATAGCACCAAATCACAGCGGCAGCCTCAAGATACATCAAGCTGCAAGGTAACGATCCTACAGAGAGAAACTCCGTCCACCAAACGACCCGCTGTGAGCACTTCTCACTGACGTCGAGTTATTTGCTTCAGGTTTTAGTCACATCCGTCCTGCAGGTCTAATGAATTGAGTTAAAGGTGGTTTATTTGTTTGCTGCAGATTGTGTGCAGCTCAGAGGTGTTTTTCACACCTTATTTTCAATAACACAAGAATTATGGAGATCAGGTTCATTCAAGCCTTAACAGAATAAAACGACTTTTCATTCACAGAGTAACACAAAGATCAAATCGTGTGGACCTGAAACGTCAGTATCTCAGCCTCATTTTAAACGACACTTACTGACGTGTGTATAAAGCTTTCATGCATTGCATCTCATGGTGCTGACAACATAAGGTGGACAGAGAAATTACGCTTTATTAATTCTGTTTGTGGCGGCGGGCCATAAAAAAATCAGACCTAGGGCCATGATTGGCCCCTGGGCTGGACTTTGGACATCCCTGTTGTAGCTTCTCATTTATTGGAGAGTCAATCAAGGTGAATAAACAACTTACCTGTCTGCAAAGAAGTTTTAATTAACAAGCATGTGGCACAGTGTAAAGAGGAGGACAGTGATTTCATTACAATTAGGGTGCGTGTCTGTGTGTGTGTGTGTGTGTGTGTGGTCATCTTTCTTCTTAGAGGCGCTCTGTGTCTTTATATACTGCAAAGGTTTGTACACTGGCAGCACCACATGAATGTGAAAGCAGTGATATGTTTAATCCTAATAATGATTAATTGTCTTGACTATAGTCGTGCAGCTATAGAACTGTGACTGCATTTATGATTATTGTTATGTACTTTACAGATGTTGTGGTCACTCTTGTGATATTAAACCAGGCGAGGTTTTATAGAACATGAGCTGGTTATGGGCACGCTGTAGCACACTGTAGCATGCTGCAGACGCGGGACATGAAGCATGTGGAGTGGAAAGCTGTGCTTTAAAACAAACATTTTTTTCATTGTATTTAAACTGCACCTCATGATAACAATCATCTCAAGGCTCTTTGTAATACGATCACATGATCCTCTATGAGCCCGCTGACAACTGCGAGGAAAGAAGTCCCTTTCAACAGGAAGTGTCCTCCTACAGATGCAGGGTCAGTAAGGAGAGGACAGAGAGGTGAACTATAGAAATGCATGAGTGAAAACAGGTGAGTGAAGAGGAAACGCTCAGTGCATGGAGGCAGTCGGCCTGCAGCCTGAGGCCATAGCAGGATAGCTGACCCAGCCAAATTCCAGGCTTCATCAGAGCGATTGAAGGCTGATCTTTAAAGTAGAGGCTGTCTGTCTCCTAAACTTAGACTAGCTTTCAGCTCCATGTCTGACAGAAATCTGTAATAATGTGAGAATATTTGTTTCATGTTCTGAGAAGGATAATGTGAAAACATGTGAACGTGTAACACCAGAACAATGTTGGTGTTGGAAATAATGAAGTAAGACCAGTGTAGCCGTGTGTTTGCAGTTACTCAGCAGTCGTACTGTTCAGAGTGGGACGCTCATCAGCACTTTTTCATGTTTCTCTTTGTCATGATGAACTCGATTTGAACTTCTCTTTAAAGCCTATAATTCACGCTGTCTTTGCATTTTTCATTGAAAATAGTGAAAATGTTCTAATTGATTGGCCTTTAAAAACCAGCAAACATTTTTGAAGCGTTGTTTGTTACTCGTCTGTCCACAGTGTGTCACTCCAGGCTCAGTGGACAAGTTACAGTCTGCTGTATTTTCAGTGTGTTTTCATGCATATTAAAAGCACTGCGGTTATCTGTCCTCTGAGCCTACCATTCAAGCTTCTATCAAACTTTACGTAATGACACCAGTTTGACATGTGAGCTCTGACAGGATGGAGGCAGGTTGCAAAAGATAGATTTCCTCACCTGCCTGTGCTGTTACCTGTGCACACAGATCACTTTGGCTTTATTTGCACACATTTTGAAACATTCGTCTGCCTCTAGTGAAAACAATAGAGGTCTGTGGGCTATCAATAGACACTAAGACGTTGGATCTGGAAAGACAAATTGGTTTTGCTAAATATTTAAATGTCATTGTTTAATTTTCAATGCAACAAGCTCTGCAAACTAGATTCCATGCACCTCTATTGTCCCTGTTTAGATAACATGCAATCCCCAAATGAAACCAGGACAGGGCTCTAGAACGATATCAGGAAATATGTCATTTGCAAAAATATGTTTCACAGTATGTTTAAGCTGTTGATTGAAGGGTCTAGTGGTCCACAGGCTGTGAGGATGACTGAGGAGCTCTACATGTTGCTTTACATTAACAAGTTTTATTTCAGTGCAACTGCGAGGAGTTGTCTTTACTTGAGTGATGTTATTTAAAGCTATGTAAAAGTGTGTGTGTGTGTGTGTGTGTGTGTGTGTGTGTGTGTGTGTGTGTGTGTGTGTGTGTGTGTGTGTGTGTGTGTTGCAGAATAAAAGATCGTGGAGATGAGCTGAAACAGATGGAGAACAAATTACAGGTGGAGTGAGACTACCACAATAAGAAGTAAGTCAGAGCCAAACTCTTCTGTAGAACCTCAATTTGAAATAACAGTGAGTCACCGTAGCCTTTGGAGTAACAGTGTTTTTGTCAGCTGTGTTTGTTAACCCTAACCAGCAGTAGCCTCAGTAAAACGAGTAAACAGCACCTATTGAGTTTAATGAAGTAATAAAGTTATTATGATCCAATTGATCTTTCTGAGTTAACTTCAATAATTACTTCCTCCAAACCATCAACGTGTCTTTTAGACCCCATTCCTACAAAACTGCTCAAAGAAGTCCTGCCATTAATTAATTCTTCGATCTTAAATATGATCAACCTATCTCTAATAATCAGCTATGTACCACAGGCCTTCAAGCTGGCTATAGTCAAAAAGCATCTCTAGACCCAGCAGTCTTAGCTAATTATAGGCCAATCTCCAACCTTCCTTTCATATCAAACTTCCTTGAAAGAGTAGTTGTCAAACAGCTAACAGATCATCTGCAGAGGAATGGTTTATTTGAAGAGTTTCAGTCAGGTTTCAGAGCTCATCATTACCTTGGCCTCCAGTAACGCTGTGAGGAACCTTGGAGTCATTTTTGACCAGGACATGTCCTTCAACGCACATATTAAACAAATATGTAAGACTGCGTTCTTCCATTTGTGCAACATCTCTAAAGTTAGAAATATCCTGTCTCAGAGTGACGCTGAAAAACTAGTTCATGCATTTATTACTTCCAGGCTGGACGACTGTAATTCATTATTATCAGGAAGTCCTAAAAACTCACTGAAAAGCCTTCAGCTAATCCAAAATGCTGCAGCAAGAGTCCTGACAGGGACTAGAAAGAGAGAGCATATTTCTCCTGTTTTGGCTTCCTGTTAAATCCAGAATTCAAAATCCTGCTCCTCACATACAAGGTCTTAAATAATCAGGCCCCATCTTATCTTAATGACCTTGTAGTACCATATCACCCTATTAGAGCACTTCGCTCTCGCTCTGCAGGCCTCATGGAAACCTCATGGTTTCTCCATGAGGTTTCTGGGCGTGCAGATATCTGATGACCTCTCCTGGACTGCAAATACTACGGCGGTGGTTAAAAAGGCCCAGCAGCGTCTCCACTTTCTGAGAGTGCTCAGGAGGAACAACCTGGAGGAGAGGCTGCTGGTGACATTTTACAGAGCCACCATAGAGAGCATCCTAACGTACGGCATAACAACATGGTATGCAGGGTGCTCAGCTGCGGACAGGAAAGTACTGCAGAGGGTCATCAACACAGCCCAGAAGATCACTGGCTGCTCTCTGCCCAGCCTGGAGGTCACTGCAAACTCTCGGTACCTCAGCAGAGCTGGCAATATCATCAAGGACCACTCTCACCCCAGCAACCAACTGTTTGAACTATTACCGTCAGGCCGACGGTACAGGTCACATAAAACCAGGACAAACAGATTCAGGGATAGCTTCTTTCCCAGAGCTATCACCGTAGTAAATAAGCACAAAAACAATTGAACCTATTCCATACCGTCACTGTCATTATATTATGCTGCTATTCATACTGTCATTATATTAATGCTGCTATCCTGTATATATTGTACTTACTATTGTTTGAGTACTTACGATTGTTTTTTTGTACTTTTTATATTTTACATTTATATTTATTATTGAAACTTGCACCAAGGGAGTGGCACTCCAATTTCGTTGTACTCTGTACAATGACAATAAAGGATCTATTCTATTCTATTGTTCTAGATATTTAAAAAGAATGGGAGGCAAGCCTTCAGTTTTCAGGCCCCTCTTCTGTGGAACCAGCTTCCAGTTTGGATTCAGGAGACAGACACTATCTCTACTTTCAAGATTAGGCTTCAAACTTTCCTTTTTGCTAAAGCATATAGTTAGGGCTGGACCAGGTGACCCTGGAATCCTCCCTTAGTTATGCTGCAATAGACATAGGCTGCCGGGGGATTCCCATGATGCATTGAGTTTTTCCTTTCCAGTCACCTTTCTCACTCACTATGTGTTAACAGACCTCTCTGCATTGAATCATATCTGTTATTAACCTCTGTCTCTCTTCCACAGCATGTCTTTATCCTGTCTTCCTTCTCTCACCCCAACCATCAGCAGCAGATGGCCCCGCCCCTCCCTGAGCCTGGTTCTGCCGGAGGTTTCTTCCTGTTAAAAGGGAGTTTTTCCTTCCCACTGTCGCCAAAGTGCTTGCTCATAGGGGGTCATATGATTGTTGGGTTTTTCTCTGTATCTATTATTGTACGATCTACTGTGCAACATAAAGCGCCTTGAGGTGACTGCTGTTGTGATTTGGTGCTGTATAAATAAAACTAAACTGAATTGAATTGAATTGAATTATGAATACTCAACGAGGAAGTGACCTAGGATTTTGAAACTGATACCATAGCTGCTAAAATTCTCACATGAGCCTTAATCACAGTGACCCTCACGTGAGAGGCGTGGGCGTGTCTGGATTAGCTTCCTGTCTCTCTCACAGCAGCATTTCATTTTACGTCCTCCTCCTCAGCCACCTTTTCTCGCCATGTGCCATAAGGCTCAGTCCAACACACAGCAATATCACATATAAAATATAATAGCCCATATTTTAAGTACTAGTCTTATTCTGTCTGCATTTTCAAAGGCTTCACACAGAGCAGCCACAAATGTGGACTCAGTGGGACGAGTATGTCAGGCAGGTGTCCAGTGAAATGGTCCTGAAAGACACACAAATCATCAGCCTGCAGGAGAGAGAAACCACACTAAGGACTGAGCTGGAGCGGAGCAGGAAACAGACTGAAAGGTGAGAGGGGGAAAGAAGAAATACGAAGTCGGGAGTGCCATGGAGGTCCTTCCTGATGCATTGAATGGAGTAATAAACAGGGAGTATGGGCATCATCTCTTTGTATTTATAATTTCCTGTCAGGTACAAACAGCATCTGAGAGCTGGCCTCAACAGAGAGAAAGTCTTGGAGAAGAACAGCGTGCAGATGGAGCTGGAATGGCAGCGACGCTTTGAAGATGTAAAGGCGGACTACTACCTTGCAAATGAGCAGCTAATACAAGACCTGATCGAGGCCAGAGACCAGGTCAGTGGCTCACACATAACCCAACCCATTCAATAGACTCTGTGTGCACTTTAGCACTAATCCTAACTGAAATACCTGCAGTGATGGAAGCTGGACAGTTCACTGCAGGACAGAAAAAAAGAGACTTTTTTTCACGTGTTTTCTGTTACACGCGTGTTCATGTCAGCAGGTGTCATTTAAAAAACGAGAAATGAGAACGCATCAGATCTATGCTCATACAGACTGATGGTAGTGTTAGGAATGAAAGGACTGAATGATGGACATGATTACAGAGAGATTCGGATGCAGCAGGCTAGTCTGTGTGGATGATATTTCTTTGTAGCAGTTAGAGATGATACTGAGGAGTTTGTATGGTCCTCACGTTGCCTGACAACATCGGGGCATGCTCCTGATGAGATAACAGATCTGGCCCAGGGCATCATGGAGCTCCTGAACAGTCAGAGGTGCAACCTGGGAGTGTCTCCTGGGGCCGCGACATAATGTCCCAGAGGTGTCCTACTGAATTTACATCAGGACCCACTGCACCAGTGTAGGGTCTGACACTGGTACAAGGATTTCATCCCAAGATGTAATCAGGATGTCCTTACCAATCCCTACATGAAAGTCCTTCCCCATAACGTGATGGTGTCTGTAACAATGTTGCAGGCAACATAACGCTCTCCACAGCTTCTTTCACGTGTGACCTGTGGTCAGGGTGAAGCTTCTTTCATCTGTGAAAAACACAGGGTGGATCTGCCAATACTGGTATTCTATGGCTAGTGCCAGTCATCCCATTCCTGTGCAGAAGCAGACCTGCTGAGGGGTTCAGGACCTGCTACAGCCCTTCAGCTCTCCTAGAGTAACTGTCCATCTCCTGAATCTCCTCCATGCTGATGTGCTGGGAGACACAGCAAACCTGCTGGTAATGGCAGCAGGCTCAGGTGGCCCCCACCCCCCCTCAACAGTGACCTGTTTCAGTTTCAGCACACTGACAGAGGAGAGCTGCTGGTTTCAAAGCCCAGGATGTTTTATGAATGTAACACAGTTTTCATGTGTCAGGCTAAAGCTGAGCTGATGGAGAGAGAGCAGCAGCTGCATGATCTGACCGTCTTGCTCCAGTCCACTAGCAGGGAGCAAGATCAGGCTGTACAGGTGAGCACATGTTTAACCACACACTAATATCAGTCTACGGCTTGGCTGCTCAGCCAAAGCGTGCTGGAACAGAGCTCCTGCTGTCATTCAGCTTTTTTTAAAACCCATTTTCTATTATAATTTACAACCTTGCAACTTATACTTGTCAATGTTCACAAGTTGAACAGATACAGGAACAGGGCAGCAATGTAGAAGTTAAATTTAAAAAAACTTCACATAATATTAATAAGACGTGGCAATCTTAGTAGCAATAAATGAACAGAGTGAACCTCTGCTGGATTATTGAAACAATAAGCATGTATGGGTCATCACTAAACAATCCTCTCTGCATCTGCAGAGCATGTGTTATTCCCTCCATCTGATAAATCTCTCTTATTTTATCAATCAAGATTTAACCATTTAATGATGATACACTTTAGTGCTGCTGTAAGCAAGATTCTCAAGAGATACTCTTTATTGTTTCCTGTAAAACCATTTGGTAGTACCCCTAACATGGCTAACTGTTGGTCTTTTGTTGTTGTTGGGAAAGTATTGAGAGCTGTAAATATGTCCTTCCAAACGGAGCTAATGGACATGACCAGAATATGTGTGAATGGGTTCCTAAGTGAGTACCACAATTTCGCCAACAAGTGTCAGGAGTTGGTTCATTTTAGCAACGATCTCTGGGGGGTCTAAAATATCTCATGACCACCTTCCCTTTAAATTCTCTCCACAGCCCAGAATTAGTCACCAGATGGGCCTCACTGAACTCTTCTTCCCAAGTCTCCTCTGAGATTTGAGTGCCAAGCTCAGCTTCCCGCCTGGCCTTAATATCCAAAGTTGCACTTGTATTAAAACTCATAAATGCATGATAGAAATTACTAATCAATTTTGGGGAGGAATTACTGTGAAATATTTTTAGAGATATTTCCTCGATGGGTGAGGGCTCCAAACTTGCTTCCATTCTTTATATTTTGTCAAAAAACTTCTTAGCTGCAAAAATCTAAAAAAAAAGTCAGAAGAAGGAAGCTGAAACTTCCGGAGCCCCTCTGATGACATGGTCCAAAAAATAAATCAATTGTGCCCACAAAATACTACTTCGTGCACACGAAATGCTCATTTGTGGGCACGAATTGGGAAAACGTGGCAACGAATTCTGCATTTGTGGCAACAAAATAGATAACGTGCGCACATCATATTGATACAATCCTGGACAGCTGCGTAGAGACATAAGCATGAGAGTAGGCTAAACCTACACACCGTGGGCAGAGACGGTATGATTGACTTTTATTTTGGGCTGGGAATGAGCTACAAATACATTTTGAAAAGCCTGCAATGCAAGGAACCATTATTACGGAGAGACGTTAAAACAGGATACTGCAAGCCCAGTTGCTTTACAGACGTAAGTACGACCTGGACGCTGGGATAGATTTTATTGTCAACCAACTGCAAGGGCCTGGGAAGGATCACGGTTATCGGTCAAGTGTTTCGTGCCCACAAATTAGCATTTCGTGCCCACGAAATAGTATTTTGTGGCCACAATTTATTTATTTTTTGGACCATGTCATCAGAGGGGTTCTGTAGAAACTGACCTCTCAGCTGTTGAACTCAGGTGACCATTCCTCACAACATGACAAAGTTTATGAAGCCCGTTATTTGACCATGCTCTGAAGCCAGGGTCTTCCATAATAGGTCAAAAACCCTGCAGGTTGGAAAGGCTTGATACAATTAAAATTTCTTTTGGACCAAATGTTTGTTTGATTCTACGCCAAATCTTTAGTGTGACCCTTGTCCATTCCCCCATATGCACATCTTAAGTGAAATGTTAGAGAAAAGCAGGGATTCCAATGATCATATTGTCTTCTCAGTGTTTAGCCACGTGCTGAGGTGGTTTTTCCCAGCTCAGTCTGGGCGGAGCTCTTTTTTCTCCTCGTCTTTCCTCATGTGGTGCATTTTCCATAGTTATACCTCTCTGACCTGTCTACCCCGTGTGATGTTTGTGTCATGTACAGGTATGTATGGTCGAAAGGGTAAGATGGCGCTTGCAAAGGTCAGCAGCCTTAACCCAATTTCCTTCTGCGCAGAGCGCAGGGGTAAGCTTTTAGTAATAAGGGGGCGACTTTTTCCTTAAAGTCTTTATCATTAATAAAACCATCAGGCCAGGACTTGTTTTAGTTTTAAGGTTTGAAATCACCTGTAAAATGTCTTGTTCCTGAATTGGTTCATCTAACTCTTTTGCTACCGATTCCAGCAGTGTTCTTAGATTGATCTTTTCTAAGAAATCAGACAGTGTACTGTCATCCTTGCATGTATCTGAATTTTTATATAATGACTCGAAAAAATTGGCAAAGCAACTTGCCAATTTGGTTTGGTTTAGTAATTAGGGTTTGATTCGATCTCAGCTTTTGGACCATATTACAGAATTGCTGTTTCCTGAGTCTTATTGCCAGCACTCTACCAGCCCTACTACCTTGTTCCTAATACTTTTGTTTAATGTATCTTAAATTGCCCTCAATTTTATTGTTAATTAAATTATTAATCTCACTACGCAGCACTTTCAGATCGGACAGCTAGTCGGCTGTCTGTGGTTTTTGTGTGTTATTGCTCGAGGTGCCTTATTTTGGCCTCCAATTCACACCACCTGGCCTCCCTTTTTTTTTCTGGCACTTGCAAATGATATTATGCAACCTCTAATGTATGCCTTGGTGCAATCTGATAGAGTTAAGGGCGATATCTCCGGAGTTGTATTCAATTCTAAGTAAATATTTAATTCAGTATGTATGAACTCACTCAGGCAGCACGGTGGTTAGCACTGTTGCCGCACAGCAAGAAGGTCCTGAGTTCAATTCCACCATCAGGCCGGGGTCTTTCTGTGTGGAGTTTGCATGTTCTCCCCGTGTTTGCGTGGGTTCTCTCCGGGTACTCTGGCTTCCTCCCACTGCCAAAGACATGCAGCTTGTGGGGATAGGTTAATTGGCTAATTCAAATTGCCACTAGGTGTGAATGTGAGTGCGAATGGTTGTCTGTCCCTGTGTGTTAGCCCTGCGACAGACTGGCGACCTGTCCAGGTTGTACCCCGCCTCTCGCCCTATGACAGCTGGGATAGGCTCCAGCGACCCTGAAAAGGATAAGTGGAAGTGAATGGATGGATGTATGAACTCACAAAACTCACTATCATTTAGGAGTGAGGCCAAAGTTTTAGTTTTGGTGTCAATCCTAAGTCCCATGAGAGTGATAGCGGTGCATGGTCAGATAGTGTAATTGGTAAAATTCCAATATTGTTAATTCTATGTTCTTCTGTTTTGGAGGTAAAAAATAAATCTATCCTGGAATCGGATGCATGTCTATGCCAGTAAGAAGTATAACCTCTGACTCTAGGAAACCTATTTCTCCAAACATCAGTTGGTCCCAGTTCAGTTGTTAAGTGTTTTAGAGCTTTACTCATGTGAGACACATGACTTTTAGAGCTTGGTTGTTTGTCCATGTAAGGTGACAAGACACAGTCAAAATCACTCCAAGCAGTAAAATACCAGAACATTAAAAATTGTATGAACTTTGGCTCATCCTCATTAGGGGCATAAATATTGAAGAGAGAAACCAATACTCCATCGATGGAGCCATTGACCATAATGTACCTTCCATCTGGGTCTTTATATGTATGTACGGATAGCCACCCCTCTTTTCCTGCCAGATTTGTGAGATGAATAAAACACTTGTTGTGCCCACGACCTTTTTAGCTTGTCATGCTCAACATCAGATAAATGTGTCTCCTGTAAAAAAGCTATGTGACAATTGAAACTTTGTAGCTGACCTAGTGTTACCTCTTTTAACGGGGCTGTGGAGGCCTTTGACATTATAACTTATGACTTTAAGCAAATCCATCTTAACTCTTCAGAGTGAAGTTTGACAGATATCTGGGAGCATAAGTAATTTTGAACTCCATGATGACCCAAGGTTTTTGCTTAACATAGGACAAAACAAAAGGAACCATCAAACCAACAAACCAAAAACGAATATATAAAGCACCTTGTACAAGTTTTTTACCCATCAAATGATCCCTGGGAGAGCAAGGGACCTGAGCAGGTCAGACAACAACAAGACAAAAAGTCAACAAGTCCTCGAATGCAGCTAACTCAAGTTTAGATGTCTTCATATGAAATGATGAACTGAAGTTCGGGGAGAATTGCTGCGAGCAGTCTCAGTGCTGTCTGCTAGAACAATAGTGGAACTCAGGCCTGCACAACTTGCAACTAAGCTCTGTGATGTAGCTTACTGAAGTAAAGAACTCCGAGTTACCTTCCACCTTGGTCCAGGAGATAAGACCATCATAGTTCACCACCTGCTGGAGAAAGTATGTTTTCCTTGACATAATCCATGGCTTTGGCAGCATCCACAAACTCTTTTTCAACGTTGTTGTAAGAGACAGGAAATCTGGCAGGGTACAGGATGTGGACTCCCAGTCTATCGTGGAGTATCAACCCGTTCTCACTCCCAAAGCGTAAAATTTTACGCTAGGTGACAAATCGTCACCATATTACGTTTTCGGCTACCCACCACGTTCCTAAATGACGACCTCGGAAAAAAGAGGAAATATGAGAACCGTCTGGACTGAATCTACACATGTTCGCTCTTTTTCGCTGCCCTGGCTTTCGCCACCCTGCCGTGTAGTCGGGGAATATGGCGATTGGGTTTCCGTTGAAGAGTAGTTTACCTCTGCGCACACTCCTGAGGATGTCCACAGCATCTCCTTTGCTGTTTGATTTAGCAATGATAACTTGTGGGGTATCCCCGTGTCTCCGTTGAGTCAGACTACGATGAAATCTTTCCACGCGGACTTCCCTGTCAAGCCAAAACACCTCTTTGAGGAGCGCTGAGACCGCCTCCGGTGAGCTGGATCCCTGGGTTTCAGCCACACCGGTGGCTCGGCTTGGATAGCGGTAGTTTTGCTATTGATTTCTGCCGTGCTCTCATTGCCTACAACATGCTGGCTCATTATGATGATGGGGCTTTCAGATGAATACAAGAAGCTAATAGAAGGGCTGCACGGTGGTGCAGTGATTAACCTCACAGCAAGAAGGTCCTGGGTTTGAATACACCATCTGAGGGTGCATGTGATTATTAAAGTGGGACATCTGAATCACTGTACTGGGTTGACTTTCACAGATGCTCATTTCTGTTGTGGCCACAAGGTGGCAGTAATTTACTGTCCTGTACATCACTGATGACTGAGGATCTTCTAGACCCAGCAGTCTTAGCTAATTATAGGCCAATCTCCAACCTTCCTTTCATATCAAACATCCTGAAAGAGTAGTTGTCAAACAGCTAACAGATCATCTGCAGAGGTTTATTTGAAGAGTTTCAGTCACAGAGCTCATCACAGCACAGAAACAGCTTTAGTGAAGGTTACAAATGATCTTCTTATGGCCTCTGACAGTGGACTCATCTCTGTGCTTGTCCTGCTAGACCTTAGTGCAGCGTTCGATACTGTCGACCATAATATCCTATTAGAGCGATTAGAACATGCTGTAGGTATTACAGGTACATTTAGGATAAATATACACTTTGCTCAAAACATTTGTAATTTTGTTACCCATAAATTTGCATAATTATGATTAAAAAGCTGTACAGTGATGCACATGTCTGAGAGCGGCACAGAGCTCTGCATAGTCCTGTTCAGTACTGATGGAAGCAGATTTATAGTTATTGTTGTGTTGTTGGTGTCCCTGCAGTCTCATCGTTTTGTGTATTTTTGACTTGAACATTCAACACACAATAATGCAAATTTCCAATTCCTGTTCTTCTTCCTGTGAAACATCACTTACACGACATAAAACCATCTAAATCCACAGGGTCTCACTCCAAAGGTGGATTCTCTGGCATCGGTGGAGATCCGGCGTCTACAGGAGCAGAACAGCGCCCTGCGTGCTGTGGTTACCCAGATGAGAAAGGACATGGAAGGTCTCGGCCATCTCCTAGTCTTACCTAATGCTGAGGCACCAGTGCAACCTCCGTATCAGGAATCTTCAGCCTCCAAAGGCAACACAGCAGGTGCAGTCTGGCTCTGTATACAAACCTTGATGAGTTTCTGCATCACTGTGACAAACTATACACGCAAACCCTTTCAGTGGGCTCCACATGCTAAGATAGATTTGACCCAGTGACCCACATCACTGCTGCTGATTCTTCTGTTAAACATGCTTTTGTTGAACTTACAGCCACAGACACTCTGCTCATCGCATGTAAGAAAGAAAAGCTTAGAATTATCATGAACTTGTTTTCTGTTTTTCATTTTAATGTATAAAATAATAGCTTTGGATAATCTGAATATTAAGCTAAACTTTAACACTCCTTCTCCTTCTTTGTAAAACTGGACTCAGACTCCCGTCAGCCTCTGGAGCAGGAGGTGCACCTGTCAGGTAAGCACCTCGAGGAGCAGCGAGGAGGTGTCACAGGACTGTCAGGCCTGGTTTCAGCCATGGAGGACCCACAACACATCGATCCAGGCAGATCACAGCCTGAAAATCAAGCTGGTATTATTCATACTGTTAATTTCCTCCATATAACCCCAAAACATTACGTTAGCTAACACAAACACTGTAAGTAGATGATAGAGAGGAACATAAGGCGTTAAGCAGCAGAGGTGTTTGTGGCTGTTGAACATGTTCATCTTCCACAGTCACTGAAACCTGTGTCTTTGACGTTTGTTGGTCACATTGTCTCCCTCATATCACTGCATCATATTTGTGCCGTGGGTCCTCAGGTGGTTCGTGTCTGGATGAACGTGGCAGGTGCCCCGCTGTGACACGTGTGGAGTCAGCTTCCAATGACATCACACAGCAGGTACTACAGGAGGTTTATTGATCTGTCAGTGGAGGTGGAGCCACTGATCTGCTTAACCCTACCTATCACTGTTAGAAAGCACAAAATGGTTTCATCATCATCTTTTCAGAGAACACTGGTGCAGCAGCTCCAAGGAGACAGCAAGTATGTGAAACAAGCTCTGATGTGTGGCGTGTTTAAGAGCGTCCATCCTGCTAAAAATGACCCCCAGCTCCTTCGCGTCAGGCTGAAGCAGGCAGCGTCCTGCATCGCCCGTTTGAGCAGAGAGAAACAGCAGCTGATAGCGCTGGGCAACCGCCTCCGTGCCCAGATCGCCGCCGACGGACGGCAGGGTAGAGTTACACACCCGTCACTGCACACCGCGGTACAGCACAGCAGGGTGGCTGTGCTGGGAGGCTGCAGCCCAGCCCAGTTTACTGGAAGCATAAATGAATTTAAGGACAAACTGAGACGCTGGCAGTACAAAATCAAACTGGACCTGCACAGTCACACTTTTCCTCTTAACAATAGTCGGATGGTGTGCCGCTATGAATTGTGGGGATTATTTACTCTCCTGTTGTAAAGAATGCTCCGGTTAATTGTATGCTAAAGGAGGTAATAAAGGACACAATGAAGTTTCCTTTAGAGAAGGAATGTGATTCCAGCACCTGTGAGTTCAGATACTGCAGGTGAAATCACAGTTAGGAACAGCACGTACCTGATCGTCATCATCTCAGATCAGTCTGACATCACTCCACCTGACCAGTTAGCCTTCTTTTATTCAGTTCCTGTTGGCACTGACGTGGGCTTTCCTGCTGTTTCCTCCTTTTAGGAATGTAAAACAGCGACTCAGGGCCTTTTTGAGGAGACAGCAAACGACAGCAAAAGCATTTAGAGTTCCAGGATTGTGGAGTCACACGTATATCAAATGTTCTGCAGCGACTGCATGAGAACGTTTTATTACTGGATGGATTCAGACACAGCAGTACTGTGTGGGGCTGCAGTGGGAAAAGTTACATTAAAAGAAAAGTGATTCAGACTCTACGCGTATGGACTATTATTAGCATGCATGTGTGGTGTTTGTTTCCACAGGTGGATGATATATTCTGTGGTGTTTACAGACAGACTCATGAAAAATGAAGCAGTCAGAGGTCCTTAAATATCTCTGTGTGTCCAACAGCACCGGGGGGGCTGGAGAAGGACACCCCCACAGAGAAACTAGGAGACCACCATGGCCGCCTTTCTGCTGTGGAACAGCTGCAGTACCAGCTCACCACTCAGGTATCTGCTCAACAATGTCCTCGTCCTCTTCTCCAGCAGGTTTACAGAGGTTTGAATGTGTTACTTTGTTGTAGATGTCATTTGAAATGGATACAAATGCCGTGGTCTCCATCCCTCAGTATCACACTGACACATGAGTGCAGGCGGCACTTTGTGCAAATGTGTTCAAATTAAAAATCTGACGTTTTTACTTGAGGGGAAAGTATGTGCTTTACTTTAATAAGAACACGTCCGTGTCTGTGCTGCACCGGATACAGTGTTGGTGTGTTTGTGCCATCAGGAGCTGCAATATGCACTGATGCAGAGAGCTTCTGCTGCTGCTGAACAGCACATCCCACCAACAAAGAGCCAGGCTTTCTTCAAAGGGACTGCAAACACTTGCCATGGGCTCAAACCCAGAGACATGTCTGAGGTGAGAGGCTTGAAGAATGCATTAATGCACTGCCAAGCCCAGCTGGCCTGTTCACTCCCTGCCTGGATGGCTGTGTTCTCCTCCAACATGCTTGTTATGTTGAGTGGTGTTCCTAAATGGCCTGTGGTTAAATGTGTGGGTTCAGTAACACTAGAAAAATGCTGCATACTGTAAATGCAAGTACACATTTGTGTGTATATATTAATGAAGTAGTAAACATCAGAAGAGTAAATCTGTGATTCGCACAGCCGTAGTGTAAAATAACTCTTCTTCTTCTTTAGACACGCTCACAGCTGCACTTGTCCAGGACTGTGTCGCATGAATCGCTGTGCTCATTAACGATGCTGTGGGACACTCTGGATCGTGGACTTACGGACTCAGAAGGTATCCACATCCTCCCCACGATGCGCTGTACTCGCAGTCTTTGCACATCACTGTAGTGTAGTCAGAGCACTGAGTGTCAGTTTGTAGCAGAAGACAAAACAAGTTCACAGCCAGTACATCAGCATCACAAACATTCATTTCATCTCATTTTGTATCTAGTTTGTGATCATAAGTACAGTTACTCTATGTTACTGGAATAAAACAAACTCTGCTCCCAGTGTGAGCCAGCGACAGATCAGCTGTTGCTCAACGTGTGGCCTCGTCTCTGTCAGCGCTCCAGGGAACAATTTCCCAACCAGATAAAGCTGACTTGCAGTGATTGGCATCATAGCAGTCAATAATTGTGAAACCAGAAAAACAAAGCACAAAGTTTGAATGATGTGTTGATAAAGGATGAGTTAGAGATGTCTGTGATAGCTGTTAAAGCAACAGTGCTGCTTTCTTGTGTACAGTTCCACTGTGGGAGAAACGTGAGTCTATCTTCTGTCTTTACCGACATCCAACAGTGAACTCTGAGACTGATGACTTATTTAATTATTTATTTATTTAGGACAGTGCATGTTAATGAACATAAATGTAAAAAAAAAAAAAATTACATGAATGTAAACATGCCAGATTATAGCCAAAGGCTAATTTCCATCTGTTGTCCTTAAACATAAAAAAAATAGACATAATAAACTTATTTGAGCCAATATTTCTGGGTGGTTCAGCAGGTAGAGGAGGTCATGATGAACAGGAAGGTACAGACACATCGAGCTACAGACCATCTCTAACTCGGACCACAGCCACAAATCTTCTTGTCCATCCAGCAGGTCGTCTCCAGTCTTCATGTGAAATATCGTTGGGCAACAGGCTGGGCCCAAGTTACTCCGTGAATGTTAGATAGAAAGTACTTAAAGTGCTTGTGTGGATGGATGAGATTGCAGAAAGCACTGAGTGCTCAGTTACAGCAGAACAGTGCTAAATAAGAACGCGTCCACTTACCGTTTATTTCCTTCTGTTCAGCCCTGACAGCTCATTTCAGTGATGATGATGAATGTCTGCCTTTGTTGTCACTGTCATGGGGATGTGCTTCGCGAGTACAGACGTGAGGTCTCACGTCGTTTTGGGGATGGGAATGATGGTGGAGGGCGTCAGACTGGTGGGAATGGCAGCACGAGTCAGGGAGAGGTTGAACTTTGTACTGTTGTTGTTGTTTGTCAACAGAACTGCATAAAAATCAGCAACAGAATCCTTTTATTCATTTTAGGCATTATGTGGTACATATATATGGGAAGCATCACTTTAGCTGAGCTGAGCACACATGTCATAAATACAGTTGTAGCATCTGTAACCAAACCAGGTAATGAACAGCTGGTTCAAACTCGTGGGAGTTATGATGTCTTTGAACAGTTTATAGATCATAGACATGGCACGCAGTAATAGGCTGCACTGGACCAACCTGCACCGACACGTCTCTGCAGCGAATCGCAGTGACCTGTGCTGCTGTTAGTGTGTTTTTGGATCTGAATTCAACAAATGAAACAGTTGTAAGTCAACTTCTTTTGTCTCTCCAAAAGGTGAACGTGGGCTCAGGAGCAGACAGTCTGGTGGCTCTGGAGTCCAGATGATGGTGCATGGTAGTGGTGTGATTCCCAGCCAGCCCCAGACTGAGGTCCAGCAAAGCAGGAGCCAGTCTAAAACACTGCCAAGCACTACCAAGACCAACAGACCTGCAGTCCCTGCCAGGATCAGCAAGATCAGAAACTACAATGTTAAAGACTGAGATGGATGTTGAGGACAAGCCCAGACCAGAGCTCCCAGCAGCTGGCACACTGGGAGTAACACACGAGCATCACGGACAACACAACAAAGAGAGAAGAGTGGGACAAGGAAGGGAACGAGACTCTGATGGATGTAATAAAGACAATCAGACAGAAAACAACAGCAAACACACACCAGCAAAGGAGGAAACAGGCCACAAACACAAGAACACTCACAGTAAACATGAACACAAAGACAAAAACACTGCAGGACAGAGACAATCGAGACAGAGACAGGACGGATAAGAAACACTCAAGGGACCAAAAACCTGAAACTGGAGCTGAACCACACAGTCCATCAAACTGAGCAGGAAGCAGAACTCGAATAACACAACAGGACAACTATGACTGACCGACAATGAAGCTATACAACAAACAGGTTACTGGATAAGATGTGATTGTTTTCATGCACATATGCACCACAGCAGAAGGAGAAAACAAACCCTGACCAGCAAAAACCTGAACAGAAATCAAACGTGTTGAACACACGTGAGAGTTTCAGGGAGGAATATTCATGATTTTAAGGAGCGTTACACCCTTATTGCTGCGCTCTCACACACTCTGTCAGATCCAATAACTGAAGAAACTACAGAGACACAGAACACACAGGAGCATACAGCACGAGGCCTTAAACACACACGAGGGTACGAGGCAGAGTGGACACCACGGGGGACACAGCTGGACAGAGTCACAGTAAGGGACTGTCAAAATAAAACAGGAAACGTAACACTGACACAGACACAAAGACGGACGAACCATGGACAAAAAGGTAAAGACACATGGAGACACGTGGAGGAAACTAATAAACCTGAAGCTAAACTAGAGTCACAAAAGTGAACTAACAGAATCCACAGAAAGACAAAGAACCAACCTGAGGAGCATGAGGAAGTAACACTGATCAGTGGGTTAGAACTCTAACATAAATTCACGTACTCGTGAATAAATCCTTTATAAAGTTAAAATGTGTCCCCATCATTGTTCCAGTCTTGTTGTCCTTCAGTACATCTTCATGTCCTTCTAGTGGGAGGTTTCAGGTTTTGTCCTGTCGTGTGTAATTCTCTCTGGTGTTCATCCGTCTCTGTGCACACGAGGACAGTCGCACACAAACACTGTTGCAGCCGACCACGGTGGCTTCCACGCGAGCAGCTTCAAAACATGCTTCATCCCCGAGAAAGTATCTGCTTTACCACAGAGATCAGCTGGGTCATCAGCGTACACTGTGGGTGTGAATCAGAGCAGACAGTGGTGTGTCTGCGACAGAAACAATCACTGACAGGTTTGCATGTAAATAAAGCAACTTGCTTTGGTGAACTCTAAACACTCTGTCTTCATGGTTTAACAGACACATGATCAAATCTACAGGCAGCTTCTTTCTAAAACACGAGCAGCTGCTGCTGTTTCTCCTCAGGTTCAGAAACCCACTCCTGTTACATGTTGTTGTGGAGAAACAGGAAGTGCATTTCTCCCCTGGAATAGAGATTTTATAAGTGCTGGAGACCATATTTCATATGCTCCATATGATATCAGCTGTCACCCTGCCACATTTCCTCTCACCTCTCAGTAAACCTTTGTCAGTCCGTCCTTTTATTCCTGATATTCCCAGATACCAAACAGGTGATACACACTGCTAATTTTGTACACTGACCCACTGTGTGTTGTTTGGGACTGTCCCCTTCACTTTCATTATATTATCGTAGTATCTGTGGAAAACCTGGGAAACGCTGATCTGTGAAATACAAGTGTGGGCATGCACAAAGTGTTTCGACACAAAGTGAACCATCATCAGGACATCATGTGTGGCAGCACTGGTATAGGGACACACAGGTGAATGCTGGGTGACAGCGAGACACACCTGAACTCTGAGTGCTTTGTATCACGCTCACTGCCTGCAGCACTCACATGGATGCAGATTCAGCTTGAGTGTTTTGCCCAAGGGCACTTTGTCATGCAGCCCTGAGGATCCACAGACAGGCTTTACTGTGGGGTATGACATGAAGTTATTTCAGACAACACAAGCTGTACCTGAGCTATCATCCATCCACAGATCTACATCGTGGTGAATGCACCTATTTTTATATAGCAGTCACACACTCACACAAGCACTTTCTTCTGTTTTTTTCTCACATTCACACACTCCGATGGATGTGTGAGTAAATCTTGCCTGAGGATATTTGGCAAGCAGACTGGATCAGCAGGGACCGAAGCACACGCTCCAGTGTGAGACCTGCCCTGGCTTCTGAGGCTCCAGGTGGGACACACAGGTCACGGTGTGGCTGCTTTGGTGAGCTGTGTGCTTTGTGTAGATGAGTGTGATTGTTGTGGTCCATTACAGGACACTTCACCTCAGCTGAGGAGCCAAAGTCCCGATGAGCTGGATGGAGCTGATGAGTACTGACCATAGGTGGAGCTGGAGGTCAGCAGCTCCTTACACCATCATGCGACTGAACCCTGAACTCCAGTAACCCTGACAAGTCACGCGAGCTCTCCTGGCTACGTCACAGTTGGGTCCCGCCCTTTAATCACCCTATCTCAACAGTGGCTGCAGGTCTGCAGCGATTGGACGAAGCCTCACATCCTCGCTCCGTGATTGGCCAGCTTCGCCTGTCATCCAGAAGTTGCCGGCTGCACCTTCGCATCGTCAGCTGCGGTGTAACGTTGAGCAGCTCTGCGCGTGCACGTCCCGCAGACACAGACGCTCCCTCGCCCCGTGCACGCTATCAGTACCCCCCACCTCCCTCCGTGACCGTCGTAGGAGGATGACTAGAGTTTATCGCGTCCCATCTGCCGGCTGCTCTCGTCGCGCCGCTGCCGGTTGACCGTTAGTAACCCCGGCTCTTTTTTCTGCGCGCATCCACACAGTTGCTCCATCACTGGCTGGATCGCAGAGCCCTGCCTCTCCTCTCATTGGACTGCTGAGCCAAGCGGTTGTCAGCCCATGTGGCGTGGGCAGGCAGAGTGTGACACATTTAAGTTCATCAGAGAAAAAAGCGTGAATGAAGCGCGGAGGCTAACGGAGGCTCTCACACCCACGGCGGCTGAAGACTCGACACATGACCGAGCGTGCTGAGCGGCTCAGCCTCACGTTTTACCGGAACATCCGTCGGTTCGGCTCAGACAGGTAAGCTCGTCCGCGGCTGCTGCTCGCTGCTTATTGTGGTCCCGACCGGTGTCCAAACTCGGCATCCCCGACAATTTTTAGTTTACAAACACTTGTTATAATGACTAACTACTCCTGACATTCTTGAGATGTTAGCTCTTCATACAACGAAGTTATAGTGGGATACAAATCATATCAGGCTGATCCTGCCACGATTTGTTCCCCCTGTGTAAATCACGGACAGTCTCCCACATTGCTGATTTTTAGTTCACAAACACTTCTTATTATGACGCATTACTCCTGAAACTTTAGAGGATTTAGCTCTTTATATAGTAAAGTTACAGGAGAATAAAAATAGTTATCAGCCAAAATGTTAATGGTTTGTTAAAATAATCCCCAAGCTCAGCTGTGTGACAGCATGGAGCTGGCATACAAGATCCCAGGACAGAACAGCACTGAGGATGAGGGACGTAGCTCATCAGCATCTGTGACAGCCCACTGCCATCAGTTATTCTGGGAGAACTCGAGAGTCCGTGGACATACACGTGTTGGAGGCCTGGGCCCTGATCAGTATGGTGGCCACGCTGGTGCTTGGGTCCAGTGAACAGCAGCACTGTTGTTACTGCAGCCCTGTGGTCACCACGGTGCTTCAGGGCTCATTGATTCTTTTTAGACTCACTCATCTGTCAGATCGCTTTAAACTACAGTCACCATCGTTCACAGCACTTCATCAGCTTCACATTCAAAGCTGTTTAAAATGACCAGCTAAGCTAACAGGCATGTGTAGGACAGTGAGATTAAAAAATATGTTGACAAAAGAAACCAAACTCATTCCTGGAACTATTTCAGAAAGCATCGAGTCAGTGGCCGAGCCCCCTGCAGTGCAACGTGAAACTTTTTAATGACAGCAGTGTTGAAGCAACAAACTAATGTGGAGATGAAATCCAGGAACACGTTTTTCCTGTTCACGCAGCGCCCGTGGATCCACACATAGTTACAGTGTGGAGTCATGGAAGGAGCTGAGAATGTGTCATTGTTGTTCACTGTTTCACGCTCTTCCTGTGAAGATGCTGACAAGTCAGGTCCTGTTGTGGCTGCTGCAGAGCGAAGCCCTGACACAAAGGAGCAGAGTGAGGGAGAACGGGGGAAGACGAGGAGGATGTGCCCTGAATAGAAATGGTCACACCGAGCTGTGCGCACACAGTGACTTTGCAGTTTAGCAGCTAGCTCGTAGTTAGCAAATTGTCTGCATACGCTCACAATGGGGTGTAATCTGGGTCAAGATGGTGCACTGAAGGAGCAGGCTAGATGTAATCCCAGGGCAGGACATCCTGGAGTCCAAATCCCTTCAGACTGTGTCGTGTTGTGTAACGTGGTCGCGCTGTCTTCACATTTGTAATGCCACACAAGCAAAACAGTGGCATGAGTGTGATTGTTGGTCTTTGTTGGTGCAACCTCACAGTGTGCATGTTAGAGCTGCATGTGATGCTGCGCCGGGCTCTGGCACAGCTTTACTCAGGACCTGGATGGTTTTGGAGACACAGCGTAGCTGCAGCTCTGCAGGTCGCAGTCACACGCAGCAGTGTTTTTATTGAGTCCACAAAGTTGCAAACATCAGTGTGATCAGAGAGGACACACACACTGACACAGCAACACACACACAGACCTGTTTTTTTCTAGGTCACTGTCCGGTGCAGCGTGGAGTGCTGTATTGTTGGGATGGTTGTTGCCATGGTTACATGAATAGTGAGTCTGGCCCCAGCACCGACCACATTCATTGTTGTTAAACTGCAGAATGCTTGTCACTGATTGGCCCTCTGTGTCTGCAGTAAATAAAAATGGATGAGATCGTCATAGCTGGAATATCGGGCCGCCTGCCTGAGTCCAGCAACCTGGAGGAATTCTGGGAAAACCTCATCAATGGTGTGGATATGGTAACAGAGGACAACCGGCGATGGACACCAGGTAAAAGCTTCCCTTCGGTTTCTATGTAACATATTTACTGAGCTGAGTTTCCCTTCAAAGACTAATATTTTATACCTCCTGCACTGTGCAGCAGTGTTGGTGCCTCTGCAGGCTGAGCTGAGTTTAGCTGCTTTGACATATTTGAAGGTAAAATAATGAATGTGAGTCATCAGGAACAGAGGATGGAGCAGATTTAACCAACAGCTTTTTCCCACCAGCTTCGTTTATTTACTTTAGTTGATTCATCTGATCGCTGCCAGTGTCACTTCAGTTTATTCCACTTCCTGTTAAAAAGTAAAGGTTTTTTTTAAATCATCATCATATGGATTTAACTTCATGGTTTCATTTTTTGTTATCCAAGTTTTACTGGTGATTCCTAACTGGTGTGATCATAAACCTGCTGTGTGCTTTTGCCTGCTTCCTGTGAGCTGAACACAGGCAGTAATAAGCACTCAGATGTCCTCTGTGCTGGAAAAGAGAAACGTCCTCGTGAGGATTTTCCTCCCCTCTTTGGCTCAGTCTGGTCTCACAGCATCGTGTTTGGTGCTCAGTGTGAGCAGTGGCTGTGGACCGTGTGTGGGGTCCTGCTGCTGTAACATTGTGCTGTTTGCAGGTCTGTACGGTCTTCCAAAGAGGAACGGGAAACTCAAAGACATCAGCCACTTCGACGCAGCCTTTTTTGGAGTCCATCCCAAACAGGCCAACAGCATGGACCCGCAGCTGCGCCTCATGCTGGAGATCGCTTACGAGGCTATTGTAGATGGAGGTGAGAGCAAACGAGTGGTGAGCTGAGGTTTAGTTTGCAGTTGGGGGAAAGACGACATGTGAGTGAAAATGAAATGTTGTGCTGCAGGACTGAATCCAGCCACGCTGCGCGGCAGCAAAACAGGCGTGTACATCGGTGTGAGCGGCTCCGAGGCGGGCGAAGCATTCAGCAGAGATCCAGAGGAGCTCCTGGGCTACAGCATGACGGGCTGCCAGCGCGGCATGTTGGCCAATAGACTGTCCTACTTCTTCGACTTCAGCGGTACGTGCACGCAGCGCTGCTCAGCACGTGTGTGTTTGCAGTGCTGTCAGCGTGATCCAGTGTGAGACACACACTCAGGTTTAGGTGGACGCTCTGCTGCAGCTCAGGATCACCTTTGATCTTAGAGTAGCAAAGGAGTCTGCAGATCAGTGACGTGCAGTAGTGTTTGTGTCGACAGGCAGGACGTAAACGTGCAGAGAGCACGCACGCTGCAGCAGCTGGACTGCTTTGAATGAACGATCTGGGCTCTGATTTTATTCGTCCACTGAATTGTTGCTGATATATTTTGTGTGTTTTTACTCTGTTTCTCGCTCTGTGCCGTAGTGGTTTCCTCAGCATACCACAGCTCGGACGATCAGATGGGCGGCTCCGTATGTGGCGCCCGGCTCTAACCCTGCTGCCTTTGTTCTCCAGGCCCCAGCACTGCCATAGACACGGCGTGCTCCTCCAGCCTGCTGGCTCTAGAAAACGCCTTCCACGCCATCCGACAGGGCCACTGTGACGCTGCTTTAGTTGGGGGAGTGAACCTGCTTCTCAAGCCGAACACTTCAGTGCAGTTCATGAAGCTGGGCATGCTCAGTCCAGAGGGGACCTGCAAGTCATTTGATGCTTCAGGTAAAACATCACCTGGTCTACACGTGACATCACAGAGTTTCTGTTTGGGAGCGATGGGGAGGAGCCGCTCCTCCACCGGCTGCCGGCACATTTAATCTTTCTGTGTTACATTTACTTTGACATTTCTTGACTAACTCAATGACGTAGAACGTTTTTTGTCTCAGCTTTAACTGTCTTCAATGTGTGACATACATGCGAGCGTGCTGCAGGGTTAAAGCGTCACGTTTGTGTTGTCAGGAAATGGATACTGCCGCTCGGAGGCAGCGGTGGCAGTGCTGCTGACTAAACGACCGGCGGCTAGAAGAGTGTATGCCACAGTGATCAACGCAGGCAACAACACAGACGGATACAAAGAGCAAGGTAAGGAGGTCCAGGGGAGCACTGGAAGTCACGGCCGATCGTAGAAATGGTTTCGTTTACCGGTTTTGTGTGACGTGCTCACGCAGGGGTGACGTTTCCGTCTGGTGAGATGCAGCAGAGGCTGGTTCGTTCACTCTACCAGGAGGCCAGCGTGTCTCCAGAGCAGGTGGAGTACATCGAAGCCCACGGCACCGGGACAAAGGTCAGTGCAGCCGTCAGGTGTGTCGGCACAGAGAGGCGCTCTTACTAACCAGATCCACCGTATTTAACCTCTGCTCTGTCCACGCAGGTCGGCGACCCGCAGGAAGTGAATGGCATCGTCAGCGTTTTCTGCGAGTCAAAGCGAGAGCCTCTGCTGATTGGCTCCACCAAGTCCAACATGGGTCATCCAGAGCCGGCCTCTGGGCTGGCTGCCCTGGCAAAGGTTTGAAACCACAGTCGTCTTCTAATGTTCTCACTGAGACCGTGTGACGATGGAAACATCCAATCAGCTGACAGACAATACACACAGATCACGAACACACTGTGTCCTGTATGCAGTCATCGCCGGGTGGAGCCACACCCACCCAAACACACCTCCTCCACTCTTCCTTTAGTGGCGTCTCAGAGAAATAAAAATGCTTCCAAATATTCTGAAGTGCTGCTTAGTAGAAATCTGGAGCTGTGGCCTCTTTTATGATGAGCTCTGTGTTAACCCTTTGAAGCCGGTCGGAGCGGGCACGCTCTTTTTTGCGTAACTATTTTTAAATCCCGGTAGCACTGCAACCACGTAAGCTAGCGCAATAATTTTTTTTGCATATGAAACCGGAGGAGTTGTACTTACATCTTATGCCATCAGCTTGTCCTAAGTCACGGTTTCCTTCCACATAAAGCTTTGCAAAAACTGCATAAAAAGCCCTTGCAAGAACAAAAACATAATATTCCAGAAACACGCTTTGCCAATCCGGTCAGCTGTTTGTAACACTTCCTACATTGAAACAGACGTCAGCACGAACGATCGCATGTCCGCCATTTCCTGCCCGAAATTGGAAGTGACGTCATTTTCTCGGAAAATGTAGTTTTTTTACTTGTAGGCCTTAAGAGCCTATACTGGTGTTTTCATAAGTCATGTTTGACTTGATGCTTTTCTGAATAGTTGCTGGGAAGCTTAGAACTCGAATTGCACTGCTGGAAATAGTTTATTTTGATGCACCTGCTGTTTTCTTTGCAAATTTGCATCATAGGATTGTTTTTCCTTTTTCCTGCAGTATATAAAAATTGCTGTATCTCAAAAATAAAACTATGAAGACACTCAAAATAAATTTCCTGTTGTTGTAAAATATTTTTTGCAACTTTTTAGTATTTAGAGTTTTGAGGGATAAACCTCTTAAATTTCTCCAAGTAGAAATATATGTAACAAAAACGATTTTCAATTTTTTTTTTTTGTAGTTTATTGCACTTTTTTGCAATTGATGTAGTTACTATGGACTTAATGCAGACATATTATTAAAATATGGGCTATAACAGTTGTATTGATGTATAGCAACTTGAAATGCTCCCAAAATTGGCACTACAGCATGTAAAATATAATATAAGCTCTGGCGGACTTGGTTCTATGGTAGGTCTTAAAGGGTTAAACTGGAATCATGAGTCATTATTTGCTTTAAACCGCTGCTCATGTGTTTGATGCGACGTGCAGGTGCTGCTCTCTCTGGAGCGAGGAGTCTGGGCCCCCAACCTGCACTTCCTCCATCCTAACCCTGACATCCCCGCCCTCACCGACGGTCGGGTTCGCGTCGTCGATCGGCCTGTTCCCGTCCGAGGAGGCATCGTAGGGATCAACTCCTTTGGATTCGGAGGTTCCAACGTTCACGTCATCCTTCGTCCGGCTGAGAAAACGGCCGCCTCGGCTTCACCCGGGAAGCTTCCCAGAATGCTTCAGGCCTGCGGGCGCACAGAGACGACGGTGAGCTCCGTCCTGCAGAAGGGGAAGGAACACGCTGCGGACAACGCCTTCCTGTCTCTGCTGAACGAAGTGTCAGGAGCGCCCGCCGCCAGCATGCCCTACAGAGGTTTTGCTCTGATTGGCTCTCAGAGCGACGTCATGGAAGTGCAGCAGGTGCCGGGCGCCGCCAGGCCTCTGTGGTACGTTTGTTCAGGTGAGTCGCTGCACGCAGTCAGAAGTATGAGACGCTTCACATGATACAAAGATGTTTGGACAGATTTGGGGTGAACGATGAGATCGATGGAGGAACGAGGACGTAACAGGAGTGACGTTGAGTCGCTGAGAGCACGCTGTTACTAAGCAACCATCAGCTGGGCAACATGAAAGTTTGTTTCCAGTTTATTTAAAAGGGTTTGAACACAGCTGCGATGCAGAGCTGCACGCACACACCTCATATACCAACGTGTTGCTACACGCTGTCTGTAATGCAGGTATGGGGACGCAGTGGGCCGGGATGGGCCGCAGTCTCATGCAGCTGCCAGACTTCAGAGACTCCATTCTGCGGTCCGATGCGGCGCTGAAGGAGACGGGGCTGGTGGTGTCTCGTCTGCTCATGGAGGCTCAGGAGGACACGTTCGAAGACACCGTTCACGCCTTCGTTGGCCTGGCTGCAGTACAGGTACAGCGATGCTGCCTCACAGAGAGAAAAGGGAAGCATTTCAACACTCGTTTGTTTTCAAAGCTTCGAGTCGAGCACAGATCCATGTGTACCACTCAGAGTTTATAGAAGACGTCAGCACAAACATTTATTTATGACCCGACCAATCACTGTGCCCCTGCTTTAACTAACACCTGCGTGGAAACGTCTCACTCTGTGGAAACGAGTGTTTAGTCTGAGCTCACAGTGAGGAAGAGTTATTGGGTGTTTTTTACCTCTCAGCTGGAAAAGGTTGAGAGGAGCTTCAAATCGATACCTTAGATCTACCTACTGAAAATGTCAGAGGAGTTTGGATCTCAGTGACCCCGACCTCAACATCAGGGGTCAGAGGTCAAGCGTTGTGAAAATCTTGTGAATGCATTGCACAGTCGAGCCACATTAGACCGGAGAGCACCAGAAAGAGCCTGCAGCGATCTGTGGGCACGAGGAGGAGGAGCATAAACATGCAGTGGCCTTCTATGGCTGCTGAGTTCACAGGTGGACGATGACTCAGACTGCCAGAGCAATCGTCGTGTTTTTTCTCCTTACAGATCGCTCAGATCGATCTGCTCACCAAGCTGGGTCTGCAGCCCGATGGCATCGTGGGGCACTCGGTGGGAGAGCTAGCCTGTGGCTATGCTGACCGCTCCCTGAGTCACAGCGAGGCCCTCCTGGCTGCGTACTGGAGAGGCCGCTGCATCAAGGAGGCCAGCCTTCCTCCAGGAGGCATGGCTGCAGTGGGTGAGAGCGCGTCTTCTTTTAACAGATGGGACTCAGTGTTGTGTTCAGGGCTCTGATTCTGCAGGGTCGGACGCCATGTTTGAGCTTTGTGCTTCCTGTGTGTTGCAGGGCTGACCTGGGAGGAGTGCATCGCTCAGTGTCCTCAGGGGGTGGTTCCAGCCTGCCACAACGCTGAGGACACGGTCACCATCTCCGGCCCTCAGGTCACTTTCCTGGTTCTTCTAGCAGCTTAAATTTCTTTTTCTGCTGGTTGGTTCAGTTTGAGTTATGGCACCAAATCAAGGTGCTTACATACAGCACGTCTCTGTTTTACCTGAGCTTCATGTATCATATGACACACGTGATCGCCATGACGCTCTCACTTATTTATAGCCAAACACAGTGAACTCATTGTTCCATCAGTCCAGATGAGTGACAGCTCAGTGTGTTTTAAACTATGGGAGCTGTGTCCTGCTGTACAGCTGTGGTCCCAGATGTTTGAACATGTGCCACGTTTGATTTTTAGGAAGCAGTCAGTGCCTTTGTGTCCGAGCTCAAACAACAAGGAGTGTTTGCAAAGGAAGTGCGCAGTGCCGGGGTGGCGTTTCACTCCTACTACATGGCCTCCATCGCTCCAGCCCTGCTCGCAGCTCTGAAGAAGGTATGTAGCGCCGCACGTCCCATCCATGCTCGGTCCTGTCAGTAGAAGCAGGGCTCACACATCAGCGTGCCAGGCGCCAACACTGTCACAGGAAACCTGGTGCAGACTGCTGTGCTGAATATTAATGAGCTGCCATCCTGTCACTGCAGGTGATCAAAGAGCCAAAGAAGCGTTCGGCGCGCTGGGTGAGCACCAGCATCCCTCAGTCTGAGTGGGACTCTGCTTTGGCTCTGCACAGCTCGGCTGAATACCATGTCAACAACCTCGTGAGCCCCGTGCTGTTCCAGGAGGGCCTGAGCCTGGTGCCCGAAAACGCCGTGGTGCTGGAAATAGCTCCGCATGCTCTGCTGCAGGTTTGCTACCAGTGCTGTCCACACATGTGGGGCTGCTTCCTGTGTGTTCCTGTGTGTGTCTGTGTGTGTCAGCCTCAACACACAACGTTCAGCAGCTGTTGCTGTCTGAAGCTCAGAAACACTGATTTATCAAAGCTTTTTTTCCACACACACTTTCCAGATGTTACTGGGTGATGTACTTTACAGGGACACTAGCCTGAATAGGTGGTGTTACCGTTGGAAACCAGGGCTGTAAAGCGTTTCACTCGCTGCTGTGACTGAAGTGTTGACTTCTTCACACAGGCCATCCTGAAGCGCAGCCTGAAGCCCACGTGTTCAGTCGTCCCCCTGATGAAGAGAGGTCACACCAACAACCTCGAGTTTTTCCTCTCGAACGTCGGGAGGATCTTCATGAATGGGTGAGGAGAGCCTCCCTCATTGGCTGTTTGACTGTGACAGTTGCTCACTCACACCACTCTCTGCCTTTAGCATCAACGTGGACGCCAACGCCCTGTGCCCCGCTGTGACCTACCCTGTGCCGGTTGGTACTCCAATGATCTCGCCCTTGGTGCAGTGGGACCACACCCAGACGTGGGATATCCCTAAAGCGGAACACTTCCTGTCGGGCTCGGGAGGCTCTGGTTCTGCGGCGGTGTATAACATTGGTAAGAAGTGCGCTCGCAGTGTTTCCATCGCAGTGAAAACGTTTTTCTGATTTGGTTTAATGTCGTGTCATTGATGTAACAGACGTCAGCCCAGAGTCTGCAGACCACTATCTCATTGGACACAGCATCGATGGGCGTGTCCTCTACCCGGCAACTGGTTACCTGGTGCTGGCCTGGCGCACCTTGGTGAGGAGTCTAGGGGTTGTCATGGAAACGACGCCCGTAACCTTTGAGGATGTGACTATCCACAGGGCCACCATTCTGTCAAACGCCAGTAAGTATGGGAGGCGTGGCTTGTTAATGGCTTGAACCACGATCACATGACCTCGTCGAGCAGGTGAGGTCATGTGATCGGCCCAGTGCCTATCCTGTCAGTCCCACTTTAACCAGTAAGAGATGATGTGGAGGCGGTGAGATTGTTACAGCTTTGTAAGACCTGCCGAGCGTCTTAGTTACGCCACACTGACGATTTCACACGTTTAAATCCCTGAACTCACTGCGTGATTGGATGATGAAAATCCTCGACGCTCGTTATTGGCTGCCATGCTTCGTTTAACACGCCGGCACTCTGCGGTGCACCGACGTGTTAACACACGTCAAACGAGGATTTTGTAACATTTTTCAGATTGAAAGTGAAATAATATCAAATATTGGTATTAATGTTTGAAAATCATCCTTCCTTGCTTCCTTGCTTCCTTGCTTCCACCTTGTATTAAATTCAGAAACCTTCAAGGAGACGGACGTACATCTTTGTTTCGGTTGCTTATCGATGTTATTCTAGTTGAATTTGACCTTTGAGATAATTTTACAGATGTTGTCTCACTGTGTCACATGAGGGTTAGACGCTGCTCGCACCAGCAGCTCAGTCTGATTTTCTTCTGAATAATTATTTTTCTTCATTAATAAGACAAAAGTATTTTGTTTCCTCGATGACTCGATGGAGTCACTGACAGACGACTTCATTACTAAAATAATCAACAGCAACATCTTTTACATTTAATTGGTTTTTGTGACTTTTATTGTGAAACACTCTGATTTTGATAAGTGCATTATTATTGTTATTGTTATTGTTACAGTGGATGAAGCTGTTGACTGTTTGTCACAGGTGCGGTCCAGTTGGAGGTGCGTCTCATGCCCGCCACCAGCAGGTTCGAGGTTTCGGAGAACGGGAGCCTGACTGTCAGCGGTACGTCTTTGCATCAGCACACAGGCTGAGCTGCTGATGAAGATCCCAAAGTTTACACATCATTTACATTTGTCGCTGAAAATCACACAACATTATATCCACAAACATATTGTTTATTATTTAGTGCAGTGCTGTTTAAACGGGTTTCCCGTGTCGCTCGGCTGCTGATTGGTTCAGCACAGGCCGGCTGTAGCTCAGGTCACATGACACCGAGCTGCATCCATCAGGCTGAGGTGAAGCTCTGTGACCAGAGCAAGAAAACCTCAGAGGTCTGTTAGTTGTTCCAGTGACAGAGTAAAACTCGTCTGCAGACTTTTGACTTTCAGTATGAACTCGTGAATATTCAGAATCGCTGGTTTTCAGGTAAGGTGAGCATCCTGGAGGATTCGGCACTCGATTCATTCAACGGTGAGATCAGCCGGGAAGCTGCCGACAGGAGCGACGCCTCGATGAAGCTTAACGCACACGAGATCTACAAGGAGCTCAGACTGCGAGGCTACGACTATGGAAAAACCTTTCAGGGCATCTTGGAGTCAAACACAGCAGGTACGCTGGAGCTGTGGCTTATTGTCCTGCTGGGACATAAAAGGACATGATTCTAGTTACACTCAGATAAATGTTGGTAGGACTGTTTTTCTAATAATCTGATTGGCTGTTTCTAGGAGACCGTGGGAAGCTGGAATGGACAGGAAACTGGGTGACATTTCTGGACACCATGTTGCAGATGATCGTCTTGGGGCTGCCGGGTGGAGGTTTGCGTTTGCCGACCAGAATCCGCTCCGTGTGCGTCCATCCTGCTGCACACCTGGAAAAAGTCAGCGAGCACGCTGAAGGAAAGCAAGGTGTGTTTGCCTCCCTCACTTCAGATCAGCAGCAGTGATCCTCCTGATCGTTACTTAGCGGTTTGTGGCTGTCATGTCAACATGATGTGACTGTTTTATGTGTAAAACACCGGATGCTGTTCGCTCTCAGCGTTTGGTCCCCTTCAGCTCGATGTTTGACTCTGTTTGATTCCTGCAGCGGTTGATGTCCACGTAAGCCGTTACCTTGACAACATCACTGCTGGTGGAGTCCAGATCTGTGGCCTGCACGCCACAGTAGCCCCTCGCCGGCAGCAGCTGCAGAGCCCGCCCACACTGGAGGAGTTCCTGTTTGTTCCTGATGTGGAGACGGACTGCCTTACAGCCAATGGGAAGCTGGCAGAGCAGCTGAGGCTTTGCAAAGGTACAGACAATCTCTCCATCACTCACATGCAGTAAACATATGAGTGATAACTGGATCAAAATAATGTTTGCACGTGTGATCTGATGTAAACTGTGTGAGGAGACGGACATGATGGGATTGTCTGGTTGTTCGCATCTTTCTCCCTGTATGTATTTAAGAGCTGTTACCTGTTAGACTTGTTTTGATCTCCTTGTGAGGAGATGACGAACATCAAACCAAACATCGTGCTAAAGTCAGTCTTCTCTCCTGTCCTCCGTGTCCAGCTTTGATCCACACACTGCAGCAGAAGCTGGCCCCTCATGGTGTCAAGCTCTCCATCCCGGGGTTACAGGGGGGCTCTGATGCACCTCCTCCCAGCGGTGAGCCTTCTGAGCCCAGCCTGCTGCGGCTGCTAACCCTGCTCTGTGGCCTCGAGTTCAATGGGAACCTCCACTCTGAGCTGGAGCAGGTGGTGCAGAAGGAGCGGCTGTGCCTGCTTAAAGACGACCTGCTCCAGGGTCTGCTGGTCGACGACGCCCTGAGACATTGCCTCGACATCACGGTGGAAAACAGCACACCTGGCAGGATCAAAGTGTTGGAGGTAAGACTCTCAAACAGCTGGATTTAGCTGGATTATTTCCACACACTCATCATTTTCACGCCTCTGACTCCTGCAGGCTCTCTCAGATGACGGCCAGCTCTTCTGTCGCGCCGTGCCCCTGCTCAACATCCAGCCCATGCTCCGTGTGGACTACACTGCGACTGCGGCCAGTCTGGAGCTTCTGGCCCCCCACCAGGCTCCCCTGGAGGAGCTCGGTGTCGCTGCGGCTCAGTGGGATCCTCTGACCAGCCCAGCTGCTGGAGACGTTGCTGTGGGGGCGGACCTGGTGCTGTGTAACCATGCATGGGGTCCAGTGAAGACAGAGCCCAGGCTGCTGGTAGCAAATCTGGCATCTGGAGCCAAAGAAAGTGGGTTTGTTCTCCTCCACACGCTGCTGAAGGGGGAGACTGTGGGGGAGGCTGTGGCCTTCCTGTCCAGCACTGCTCAGAGCAGCAGCCAGCAGGGACTCCTCACACAGGTGTGTTTAAACAGAACATTTTTCCACCCTGCTGTGACGTGCTGTCAGCTGAGTTTTGATTATTCTGATCTTGTTGGAAGGCTGAGTGGGAGGAAGTGCTCTCAGAGGCTTCTCTTAACCTGGTGGCTGTCAGGAAGTCTTTCTACGGCTCCGCCCTCTTTCTGTGTCGCCGTCAGTCTGTGAGTAAACAGCCGGTTTTCCTGCCTGTGGACAGCAAAGACTATCAGTGGGTGGAAACGCTCAAGGTCAGTCCCACTTTCGTCTCTCTGTCTGTCGTTGTCCCCAAACACTCACAGCTCGCTCATCGGGCTCGTCTGATTGGCTGTTTTCTCTGTGTTATCATAAAGTATATATGAGAGAGATCTGAGCTGTTTAAAAGTCTAACTGTGGGGACTCTGCTCTGCAGCAGGAAGTGATGTCAGAGTCCTCAGACCATCCAGTGTGGCTGACTGCTTCTCAGGCAGAGTGTGGGATTGTGGGAATGGTCAACTGTTTACGGCAAGAGCCTGGTGGCAACCGGATACGGTACGACATCGTTAACAGCTCGTTGTTCTCACACTGCAGCTTTTATGTAGAAAGGATCACACCAAGACTTTCAGTCAGGATTTAGAGTCTTACTGATGATCACTAATGTGCCAGAGCACAGGTTTCTAATAGACTCAGCACAAGTGTAATCAGTGAGGCTTCCTCAGACGTTAACACTTCATTGTACAGTGGAAACATAGTGGATCCTTTCTGTTGCTTATATTTCTGTGTAAAGTCAAAGGAACAGAGGATGGAGCAGATTTAACCAACAGCTTTTTCCCACCAGCTTCGTTTATTTACTTTAGTTGATTCATCTGATCGCTGCCAGTGTCACTTCAGTTTATTCCACTTCCTGTTAAAAAGTAAAGGTTTTTTTTAAATCATCATCATATGGATTTAACTTCATGGTTTCATTTTTTGTTATCCAAGTTTTACTGGTGATTCCTAACTGGTGTGATCATAAACCTGCTGTGTGCTTTTGCCTGCTTCCTGTGAGCTGAACACAGGCAGTAATAAGCACTCAGATGTCCTCTGTGCTGGAAAAGAGAAACGTCCTCGTGAGGATTTTCCTCCCCTCTTTGGCTCAGTCTGGTCTCACAGCATCGTGTTTGGTGCTCAGTGTGAGCAGTGGCTGTGGACCGTGTGTGGGGTCCTGCTGCTGTAACATTGTGCTGTTTGCAGGTCTGTACGGTCTTCCAAAGAGGAACGGGAAACTCAAAGACATCAGCCACTTCGACGCAGCCTTTTTTGGAGTCCATCCCAAACAGGCCAACAGCATGGACCCGCAGCTGCGCCTCATGCTGGAGATCGCTTACGAGGCTATTGTAGATGGAGGTGAGAGCAAACGAGTGGTGAGCTGAGGTTTAGTTTGCAGTTGGGGGAAAGACGACATGTGAGTGAAAATGAAATGTTGTGCTGCAGGACTGAATCCAGCCACGCTGCGCGGCAGCAAAACAGGCGTGTACATCGGTGTGAGCGGCTCCGAGGCGGGCGAAGCATTCAGCAGAGATCCAGAGGAGCTCCTGGGCTACAGCATGACGGGCTGCCAGCGCGGCATGTTGGCCAATAGACTGTCCTACTTCTTCGACTTCAGCGGTACGTGCACGCAGCGCTGCTCAGCACGTGTGTGTTTGCAGTGCTGTCAGCGTGATCCAGTGTGAGACACACACTCAGGTTTAGGTGGACGCTCTGCTGCAGCTCAGGATCACCTTTGATCTTAGAGTAGCAAAGGAGTCTGCAGATCAGTGACGTGCAGTAGTGTTTGTGTCGACAGGCAGGACGTAAACGTGCAGAGAGCACGCACGCTGCAGCAGCTGGACTGCTTTGAATGAACGATCTGGGCTCTGATTTTATTCGTCCACTGAATTGTTGCTGATATATTTTGTGTGTTTTTACTCTGTTTCTCGCTCTGTGCCGTAGTGGTTTCCTCAGCATACCACAGCTCGGACGATCAGATGGGCGGCTCCGTATGTGGCGCCCGGCTCTAACCCTGCTGCCTTTGTTCTCCAGGCCCCAGCACTGCCATAGACACGGCGTGCTCCTCCAGCCTGCTGGCTCTAGAAAACGCCTTCCACGCCATCCGACAGGGCCACTGTGACGCTGCTTTAGTTGGGGGAGTGAACCTGCTTCTCAAGCCGAACACTTCAGTGCAGTTCATGAAGCTGGGCATGCTCAGTCCAGAGGGGACCTGCAAGTCATTTGATGCTTCAGGTAAAACATCACCTGGTCTACACGTGACATCACAGAGTTTCTGTTTGGGAGCGATGGGGAGGAGCCGCTCCTCCACCGGCTGCCGGCACATTTAATCTTTCTGTGTTACATTTACTTTGACATTTCTTGACTAACTCAATGACGTAGAACGTTTTTTGTCTCAGCTTTAACTGTCTTCAATGTGTGACATACATGCGAGCGTGCTGCAGGGTTAAAGCGTCACGTTTGTGTTGTCAGGAAATGGATACTGCCGCTCGGAGGCAGCGGTGGCAGTGCTGCTGACTAAACGACCGGCGGCTAGAAGAGTGTATGCCACAGTGATCAACGCAGGCAACAACACAGACGGATACAAAGAGCAAGGTAAGGAGGTCCAGGGGAGCACTGGAAGTCACGGCCGATCGTAGAAATGGTTTCGTTTACCGGTTTTGTGTGACGTGCTCACGCAGGGGTGACGTTTCCGTCTGGTGAGATGCAGCAGAGGCTGGTTCGTTCACTCTACCAGGAGGCCAGCGTGTCTCCAGAGCAGGTGGAGTACATCGAAGCCCACGGCACCGGGACAAAGGTCAGTGCAGCCGTCAGGTGTGTCGGCACAGAGAGGCGCTCTTACTAACCAGATCCACCGTATTTAACCTCTGCTCTGTCCACGCAGGTCGGCGACCCGCAGGAAGTGAATGGCATCGTCAGCGTTTTCTGCGAGTCAAAGCGAGAGCCTCTGCTGATTGGCTCCACCAAGTCCAACATGGGTCATCCAGAGCCGGCCTCTGGGCTGGCTGCCCTGGCAAAGGTTTGAAACCACAGTCGTCTTCTAATGTTCTCACTGAGACCGTGTGACGATGGAAACATCCAATCAGCTGACAGACAATACACACAGATCACGAACACACTGTGTCCTGTATGCAGTCATCGCCGGGTGGAGCCACACCCACCCAAACACACCTCCTCCACTCTTCCTTTAGTGGCGTCTCAGAGAAATAAAAATGCTTCCAAATATTCTGAAGTGCTGCTTAGTAGAAATCTGGAGCTGTGGCCTCTTTTATGATGAGCTCTGTGTTAACCCTTTGAAGCCGGTCGGAGCGGGCACGCTCTTTTTTGCGTAACTATTTTTAAATCCCGGTAGCACTGCAACCACGTAAGCTAGCGCAATAATTTTTTTTGCATATGAAACTGGAGGAGTTGTACTTACATCTTATGCCATCAGCTTGTCCTAGGTCACGGTTTCCTTCCACATAAAGCTTTGCAAAAACTGCATAAAAAGCACTTGCAGAACAAAAACATAATATTCCAGAAACACGCTTTGCCGATCCGATCAGCTGTTCTGTAACACTTCCACTTGAAACAGACGTCAGCGCGAACATCGCATGTCCGCCATTTCCTGCCCGAAACCGGAAGTGACGTCATTTTCGCGGAAAATGTAGTTTTTTACTTGTAGGCCTTAAAGCCTATACTGGTGTTTTTATAAGTCATGTTTGACTTTATGCTTTTCTGAATAGTTTCTGGGATGCTTAGAACTCGAATTGCACTGCTGGAAATAGTTTATTTTGATGCACCTGCTGTTTTCTTTGCAAATTTGCATCATAGGATTGTTTTTGTTTTTCCTGCAGTATATAAAAATTGCTGTATCTCCAAAATAAAACTATGAAGACACTCAAAATAAATTTCCTGTTGTTGTAAACTATTTTTTGCAACTTTTTTGTATTTAAAGTTTTGAGGGATAAACCTCTTAAATTTCTCCAAGTAGAAATATATGTAAACAAAAACGATTTTCAATTTTTTTGTAGTTTATTGCACTTTTTTGCAATTAATGTAGTTACTATGGACTTAATGCAACATATTATTAAAATATGGGCTATAACAGTTGTATTGATGTATAGCAACTTGAAATGCTCCCAAAATGGCACTACAGCATGTAAAATATAATATAAGCTCTGGCGGACTTGGTTCTATGGTAGGTCTTAAAGGGTTAAACTGGAATCATGAGTCATTATTTGCTTTAAACCGCTGCTCATGTGTTTGATGCGACGTGCAGGTGCTGCTCTCTCTGGAGCGAGGAGTCTGGGCCCCCAACCTGCACTTCCTCCATCCTAACCCTGACATCCCCGCCCTCACCGACGGTCGGGTTCGCGTCGTCGATCGGCCTGTTCCCGTCCGAGGAGGCATCGTAGGGATCAACTCCTTTGGATTCGGAGGTTCCAACGTTCACGTCATCCTTCGTCCGGCTGAGAAAACGGCCGCCTCGGCTTCACCCGGGAAGCTTCCCAGAATGCTTCAGGCCTGCGGGCGCACAGAGACGACGGTGAGCTCCGTCCTGCAGAAGGGGAAGGAACACGCTGCGGACAACGCCTTCCTGTCTCTGCTGAACGAAGTGTCAGGAGCGCCCGCCGCCAGCATGCCCTACAGAGGTTTTGCTCTGATTGGCTCTCAGAGCGACGTCATGGAAGTGCAGCAGGTGCCGGGCGCCGCCAGGCCTCTGTGGTACGTTTGTTCAGGTGAGTCGCTGCACGCAGTCAGAAGTATGAGACGCTTCACATGATACAAAGATGTTTGGACAGATTTGGGGTGAACGATGAGATCGATGGAGGAACGAGGACGTAACAGGAGTGACGTTGAGTCGCTGAGAGCACGCTGTTACTAAGCAACCATCAGCTGGGCAACATGAAAGTTTGTTTCCAGTTTATTTAAAAGGGTTTGAACACAGCTGCGATGCAGAGCTGCACGCACACACCTCATATACCAACGTGTTGCTACACGCTGTCTGTAATGCAGGTATGGGGACGCAGTGGGCCGGGATGGGCCGCAGTCTCATGCAGCTGCCAGACTTCAGAGACTCCATTCTGCGGTCCGATGCGGCGCTGAAGGAGACGGGGCTGGTGGTGTCTCGTCTGCTCATGGAGGCTCAGGAGGACACGTTCGAAGACACCGTTCACGCCTTCGTTGGCCTGGCTGCAGTACAGGTACAGCGATGCTGCCTCACAGAGAGAAAAGGGAAGCATTTCAACACTCGTTTGTTTTCAAAGCTTCGAGTCGAGCACAGATCCATGTGTACCACTCAGAGTTTATAGAAGACGTCAGCACAAACATTTATTTATGACCCGACCAATCACTGTGCCCCTGCTTTAACTAACACCTGCGTGGAAACGTCTCACTCTGTGGAAACGAGTGTTTAGTCTGAGCTCACAGTGAGGAAGAGTTATTGGGTGTTTTTTACCTCTCAGCTGGAAAAGGTTGAGAGGAGCTTCAAATCGATACCTTAGATCTACCTACTGAAAATGTCAGAGGAGTTTGGATCTCAGTGACCCCGACCTCAACATCAGGGGTCAGAGGTCAAGCGTTGTGAAAATCTTGTGAATGCATTGCACAGTCGAGCCACATTAGACCGGAGAGCACCAGAAAGAGCCTGCAGCGATCTGTGGGCACGAGGAGGAGGAGCATAAACATGCAGTGGCCTTCTATGGCTGCTGAGTTCACAGGTGGACGATGACTCAGACTGCCAGAGCAATCGTCGTGTTTTTTCTCCTTACAGATCGCTCAGATCGATCTGCTCACCAAGCTGGGTCTGCAGCCCGATGGCATCGTGGGGCACTCGGTGGGAGAGCTAGCCTGTGGCTATGCTGACCGCTCCCTGAGTCACAGCGAGGCCCTCCTGGCTGCGTACTGGAGAGGCCGCTGCATCAAGGAGGCCAGCCTTCCTCCAGGAGGCATGGCTGCAGTGGGTGAGAGCGCGTCTTCTTTTAACAGATGGGACTCAGTGTTGTGTTCAGGGCTCTGATTCTGCAGGGTCGGACGCCATGTTTGAGCTTTGTGCTTCCTGTGTGTTGCAGGGCTGACCTGGGAGGAGTGCATCGCTCAGTGTCCTCAGGGGGTGGTTCCAGCCTGCCACAACGCTGAGGACACGGTCACCATCTCCGGCCCTCAGGTCACTTTCCTGGTTCTTCTAGCAGCTTAAATTTCTTTTTCTGCTGGTTGGTTCAGTTTGAGTTATGGCACCAAATCAAGGTGCTTACATACAGCACGTCTCTGTTTTACCTGAGCTTCATGTATCATATGACACACGTGATCGCCATGACGCTCTCACTTATTTATAGCCAAACACAGTGAACTCATTGTTCCATCAGTCCAGATGAGTGACAGCTCAGTGTGTTTTAAACTATGGGAGCTGTGTCCTGCTGTACAGCTGTGGTCCCAGATGTTTGAACATGTGCCACGTTTGATTTTTAGGAAGCAGTCAGTGCCTTTGTGTCCGAGCTCAAACAACAAGGAGTGTTTGCAAAGGAAGTGCGCAGTGCCGGGGTGGCGTTTCACTCCTACTACATGGCCTCCATCGCTCCAGCCCTGCTCGCAGCTCTGAAGAAGGTATGTAGCGCCGCACGTCCCATCCATGCTCGGTCCTGTCAGTAGAAGCAGGGCTCACACATCAGCGTGCCAGGCGCCAACACTGTCACAGGAAACCTGGTGCAGACTGCTGTGCTGAATATTAATGAGCTGCCATCCTGTCACTGCAGGTGATCAAAGAGCCAAAGAAGCGTTCGGCGCGCTGGGTGAGCACCAGCATCCCTCAGTCTGAGTGGGACTCTGCTTTGGCTCTGCACAGCTCGGCTGAATACCATGTCAACAACCTCGTGAGCCCCGTGCTGTTCCAGGAGGGCCTGAGCCTGGTGCCCGAAAACGCCGTGGTGCTGGAAATAGCTCCGCATGCTCTGCTGCAGGTTTGCTACCAGTGCTGTCCACACATGTGGGGCTGCTTCCTGTGTGTTCCTGTGTGTGTCTGTGTGTGTCAGCCTCAACACACAGCGTTCAGCAGCTGTTGCTGTCTGAAGCTCAGAAACACTGATTTATCAAAGCTTTTTTTCCACACACACTTTCCAGATGTTACTGGGTGATGTACTTTACAGGGACACTAGCCTGAATAGGTGGTGTTACCGTTGGAAACCAGGGCTGTAAAGCGTTTCACTCGCTGCTGTGACTGAAGTGTTGACTTCTTCACACAGGCCATCCTGAAGCGCAGCCTGAAGCCCACGTGTTCAGTCGTCCCCCTGATGAAGAGAGGTCACACCAACAACCTCGAGTTTTTCCTCTCGAACGTCGGGAGGATCTTCATGAACGGGTGAGGAGAGCCTCCCTCATTGGCTGTTTGACTGTGACAGCTGCTTACTCACACCACTCTCTGCCTTTAGCATCAACGTGGACGCCAACGCCCTGTGCCCCGCTGTGACCTACCCTGTGCCAGTTGGTACTCCAATGATCTCGCCCTTGGTGCAGTGGGACCACACCCAGACGTGGGATATCCCTAAAGCGGAACACTTCCTGTCGGGCTCGGGAGGCTCTGGTTCTGCGGCGGTGTATAACATTGGTAAGAAGTGCGCTCGCAGTGTTTCCATCGCAGTGAAAACGTTTTTCTGATTTGGTTTAACGTCGTGTCATTGATGTAACAGACGTCAGCCCAGAGTCTGCAGACCACTATCTCATTGGACACAGCATCGATGGGCGTGTCCTCTACCCGGCAACTGGTTACCTGGTGCTGGCCTGGCGCACCTTGGTGAGGAGTCTAGGGGTTGTCATGGAAACGACGCCCGTAACCTTTGAGGATGTGACTATCCACAGTGCCACCATCCTGTCAAACGCCAGTAAGTATGGGAGGCGTGGCTTGTTAACGGCTTGAACCATGATCACATAACCTCGTCGAGCAGGTGAGGTCATGTGATCGGCCCAGTGCCTATCCTGTCAGTCCCACTTTAACCAGTAAGAGATGTGGAGGCGGTGAGATTGTTACAGCTCTGTAAGACCCGCCGAGCGTCTTAGTTACGCCAAACTGACGATTTCACACGTTTAAATCCCTGAACTCACTGCGTGATTGGATGATGAAAATCCTCGACACTCGTTATTGGCTGCCATGCTTCGTTTAACACGCCGGCACTCTGCGGTGCACCGACGTGTTAACACACGTCAAACGAGTTTTGTAACATTTTTCAGATTGAAAGTGAAATAATATCAAATATTGGCATTAATGTTTGAAAATCTTCCTTCCTTCCACCGTATTAAATTCAGAAACCTTCAAGGAGACGGACATACATCTTTGTTTCGGTTGCATATCGATGTTATTCTAGTTGAATTTGACCTTTGAGATAATTTTACAGATGTTGTCTCACTGTGTCACATGAGGGTTAGACGCTGCTCGCACCAGCAGCTCAGTCTGATTTTCTTCTGAATAATTATTTTTCTTCATTAATAAGACAAAAGTATTTTGTTTCAGACTCGATGGAGTCACTGACAGACGACTTCATTACTAAAATAATCAACAGCAACATCTTTTACATTTAATTGGTTTTTGTGACTTTTATTGTGAAACACTCTGATTTTGATAAGTGCATTATTATTGTTATTGTTATTGTTACAGTGGATGAAGCTGTTGACTGTTTGTCACAGGTGCGGTCCAGTTGGAGGTGCGTCTCATGCCCGCCACCAGCAGGTTCGAGGTTTCGGAGAACGGGAGCCTGACTGTCAGCGGTACGTCTTTGCATCAGCACACAGGCTGAGCTGCTGATGAAGATCCCAAAGTTTACACATCATTTACATTTGTCGCTGAAAATCACACAACATTATATCCACAAACATATTGTTTATTATTTAGTGCAGTGCTGTTTAAACGGGTTTCCCGTGTCGCTCGGCTGCTGATTGGTTCAGCACAGGCCGGCTGTAGCTCAGGTCACATGACACCGAGCTGCATCCATCAGGCTGAGGTGAAGCTCTGTGACCAGAGCAAGAAAACCTCAGAGGTCTGTTAGTTGTTCCAGTGACAGAGTAAAACTCGTCTGCAGACTTTTGACTTTCAGTATGAACTCGTGAATATTCAGAATCGCTGGTTTTCAGGTAAGGTGAGCATCCTGGAGGATTCGGCACTCGATTCATTCAACGGTGAGATCAGCCGGGAAGCTGCCGACAGGAGAGACGCCTCGATGAAGCTTAACGCACACGAGATCTACAAGGAGCTCAGACTGCGAGGCTACGACTATGGAAAAACCTTTCAGGGCATCTTGGAGTCAAACACAGCAGGTACGCTGGAGCTGTGGCTTATTGTCCTGCTGGGACATAAAAGGACATGATTCTAGTTACACTCAGATAAATGTTGGTAGGACTGTTTTTCTAATAATATGATTGGCTGTTTCTAGGAGACCGTGGGAAGCTGGAATGGACAGGAAACTGGGTGACGTTTCTGGACACCATGTTGCAGATGATCGTCTTGGGGCTGCCGGGTGGAGGTTTGCGTTTGCCGACCAGAATCCGCTCCGTGTGCGTCCATCCTGCTGCACACCTGGAAAAAGTCAGCGAGCACGCTGAAGGAAAGCAAGGTGTGTTTGCCTCCCTCACTTCAGATCAGCAGCAGTGATCCTCCTGATCGTTACTTAGCGGTTTGTGGCTGTCATGTCAACATGATGTGACTGTTTTATGTGTAAAACACCAGCTGCTGTTCGCTCTCTTTGGTCCCCTTCAGCTCGATGTTTGACTCTGTTTGATTCCTGCAGCGGTTGATGTCCACGTAAGCCGTTACCTTGACAACATCACTGCTGGTGGAGTCCAGATCTGTGGCCTGCACGCCACAGTAGCCCCTCGCCGGCAGCAGCTGCAGAGCCCGCCCACACTGGAGGAGTTCCTGTTTGTTCCTGATGTGGAGACGGACTGCCTTACAGCCAATGGGAAGCTGGCAGAGCAGCTGAGGCTTTGCAAAGGTACAGACAATCTCTCCATCACTCACATGCAGTAAACATATGAGTGATAACTGGATCAAAATAATGTTTGCATGTGTGATCTGATCCAAACTGTGTGAGGAGACGGATATGATGGGATTGTCTGGTTGTTCACATCTTTCTCCCTGTATGTATTTAAGAGCTGTTACCTGTTAGACTTGTTTTGATCTCCTTGTGAGGAGATGACGAACATCAAACCAAACATTGTGCTAAAGTCCGTCTTCTCTCCTGTCCTCCGTGTCCAGTTTTGATCCACACACTGCAGCAGAAGATGGCCCCTCATGGTGTCAAGCTCTCCATCCCGGGGTTACAGGGGGGGTCTGATGCACCTCCTCCCAGCGGTGAGCCTTCTGAGCCCAGCCTGCTGCGGCTGCTAACCCTGCTCTGTGGCCTCGAGTTCAATGGGAACCTCCACTCTGAGCTGGAGCAGGTGGTGCAGAAGGAGCGGCTGTGCCTGCTTAAAGACGACCTGCTCTAGGGTCTGCTGGTCGACGACGCCCTGAGACATTGCCTCGACATCACGGTGGAAAACAGCACACCTGGCAGGATCAAAGTGTTGGAGGTAAGACTCTCAAACAGCTGGATTTAGCTGGATTATTTCCACACACTCATCATTTTCACGCCTCTGACTCCTGCAGGCTCTCTCAGATGACGGCCAGCTCTTCTGTCGCGCCGTGCCCCTGCTCAACATCCAGCCCATGCTCCGTGTGGACTACACTGCGACTGCGGCCAGTCTGGAGCTTCTGGCCCCCCACCAGGCTCCCCTGGAGGAGCTCGGTGTCGCTGCGGCTCAGTGGGATCCTCTGACCAGCCCAGCTGCTGGAGACGTTGCTGTGGGGGCGGACCTGGTGCTGTGTAACCATGCATGGGGTCCAGTGAAGACAGAGCCCAGGCTGCTGGTAGCAAATCTGGCATCTGGAGCCAAAGAAAGTGGGTTTGTTCTCCTCCACACGCTGCTGAAGGGGGAGACTGTGGGGGAGGCTGTGGCCTTCCTGTCCAGCACTGCTCAGAGCAGCAGCCAGCAGGGACTCCTCACACAGGTGTGTTTAAACAGAACATTTTTCCACCCTGCTGTGACGTGCTGTCAGCTGAGTTTTGATTATTCTGATCTTGTTGGAAGGCTGAGTGGGAGGAAGTGCTCTCAGAGGCTTCTCTTAACCTGGTGGCTGTCAGGAAGTCTTTCTACGGCTCCGCCCTCTTTCTGTGTCGCCGTCAGTCTGTGAGTAAACAGCCGGTTTTCCTGCCTGTGGACAGCAAAGACTATCAGTGGGTGGAAACGCTCAAGGTCAGTCCCACTTTCGTCTCTCTGTCTGTCGTTGTCCCCAAACACTCACAGCTCGCTCATCGGGCTCGTCTGATTGGCTGTTTTCTCTGTGTTATCATAAAGTATATATGAGAGAGATCTGAGCTGTTTAAAAGTCTAACTGTGGGGACTCTGCTCTGCAGCAGGAAGTGATGTCAGAGTCCTCAGACCATCCAGTGTGGCTGACTGCTTCTCAGGCAGAGTGTGGGATTGTGGGAATGGTCAACTGTTTACGGCAAGAGCCTGGTGGCAACCGGATACGGTACGACATCGTTAACAGCTCGTTGTTCTCACACTGCAGCTTTTATGTAGAAAGGATCACACCAAGACTTTCAGTCAGGATTTAGAGTCTTACTGATGATCACTAATGTGCCAGAGCACAGGTTTCTAATAGACTCAGCACAAGTGTAATCAGTGAGGCTTCCTCAGACGTTAACACTTCATTGTACAGTGGAAACATAGTGGATCCTTTCTGTTGCTTATATTTCTGTGTAAAGTCAAAATGATAAGGATCAGTTTTTCCCACAGGCCTCAGAGGCTCAAACCTCTGAGGACTCGTTCTCTGCTTTCAGGCCAGCTAAAGTCTGTCACGCTCAGTCTGCCCTGGTTCAACACTTTGGGTTCACTGTTGTATTATTCATGTGTTACTGCAGGACAAACGTGTCTTTATGCCTGTTTGTGTTTCTTCTCTCGCTTTGCCACCAGCTGTGTGTTTGTGTCCAATCTAAACGAGTCTTCAGCAGCACCAGACCTCCAGCAGGACCACCAGTCCATCCAGTCAGTACTGCAGAAGGATCTGGTCATGAACGTGTTCAGGGATGGACGCTGGGGCACCTTCAGACACCAGCTCATCACTCATGGTTCGACTCGCACTCATACGTGTATTTAAGGAGGCGAATGAGCTGCAGATGGTCACATGTCAGGATCCACTCATGTTTGGTCCAGGTCACTTTACATGTCTCGGCCTGCGCTCTAAACGTGTGGAGGACGCACTTCCTATGAATGACATCACAAACATAAAGAATAAGAATGACGTTGTTATTTACACGTCATTCTTACAGTTCTGTTTCAAGACGCTGCAACACTCTGAGAGTTGAGATTCAGCAATTCAGCGCACTTTTACAAAAATGAATCCGTAAAATCTGCAAAACTGTAATTTTACATGGAACAAACAGTCGTCAGAATGACTTTTAATTGTAGAGCTGTGCTCTCTCACAAAGCTCTGTAAGGTGCCCCTGCTGCAGGTGTTTGAACC